TTAATTAACTTTAACTGATAGCTTTCCCAATGCTTCAGAATAGCTGGAAACAAGAAGGTGCGTTGATGCACATGATAAGTGGACACACTATTTGCTGAGAGATTCATGTGCTTGAACATCAGCATGGCTTGACTTATACTGACACCAGACATCAATATACCAAAACTAGTCATAACGTTTCCAGTTGGATATCTTCCCAAAACCATAAGTTGGCTTCTCCACATAAAGTTCTTTTCAACACATTTACCACAATTTTGCTCTACAATGGCCATCAAACCGATGTTTTTAATGTGTACTTTTGGATTTTCAGCCTTGCAGTTAAAGCAAAATTTTTCAAACAACTCAACCAATGAGATGTAAAATACCATGAACATAGGTTGTTCATGCGAGCTTGCTCCTTCATCAATTCTGTAACACGATTAAGAAAATTCATTATTATGAAATACAACAGAGATCTAATTCTTTATAAGATAAAATACCTGACTGTATTACTTGTGGTATCTTCATCTAAATCTTCACTCTGACTAGACTTTCGAAGAGGAGTAGTCCATGTATGATTCTTCTTCGAAAAGCTCTTCAGCACTCCCTGCATTTCATCGTCTATATCAATGCTGGTAACCACGGATGTATTACGATTTTCCTGATTTCGCTTCGATATTCATTTTGCAACTTCTGGGCCTTTTTCTTCAAAGATGCTTTTGTCTTTTATACCAGCTTAAAGTATTTTGTAAAGATGTAAGTTTTTCTTAAGACGATGGCACGATTTACATGGAGACTGGGATTCACAAATATCTTCACCAACTGCATGTAGTTCTTCTTCAAATGGCGAATCGTTTGCTTCCCAGTGCATACTTCAACATGCTCAGCTCCATCACTAGTAGATGGTACTTCCTCATCGAGAGAACATGTTTCCTTCAGCGATGGCTTATGGAGAGTATGTCGAATAATCTACAAAACATATATCGAATTTACATATGACTAAAGAAAAATTAACATAAACAAGCGTAAACTTACTTGTCTGCGCTTTCGATCGGTTATTTCGTCCTGTAATGGTTCAGGAATCCCAGCCACGTCAATGGTTGGGATAGCATCTTTCTTCAACCTTCTTTTGAGCTTGACTTGCACGCTCAAATTAAGGTCAAAACAAGAATCTTCAAAATGCGCAGAACACAGACACGAGGTAGAGGAAGCCTCAAAACCCGGTCTATGTTTACGCACAAAATTTACCCATTTTCTATGTCTTTGCGGCTCTGTTTCTTTTTTAGGAAACAGATGCATCGACATTCCTTCTGTTTTTGAATCATTGGCGCAACTAATTTGATTAGGTCCGCCAGCAACACAGCGTTTTCCTCCGCGTTTCTTATTAAGATTACTAGTAGAATACGCCATGTTGATATATGTGTTCAACTTTCTACGTCACAAGTCATTAGCATACCCATCAAAAAGTTAGCAAAAAAAATGCTGAAAATCGTGACTTTGAACGTCCGTAAAATCACTTTCACCAATCCAATTTCAATTATAATTGCAGATTTAAAATCACTGAAACAAGGTCTTTCAATTTAGCTAATAAAAAAGGGGGGCTAAAATTCGTGATATAACCACTTTAAATAATTGCATGCATGCTTTCATCATTCTGGGCATAATGATTTTGAAGTTTAAACTTTCGATAACTTGGAGCAAATTACCTTAATGCGTGCTCAAATCACACAATAAATAATTTCTTTTATGTCAGAAATTTGCGTTTTATTGTTGATGACGTCATCAATGTATAACAAAACCAAAAAGCTGGCAAATTTAAAAATTTTCTCAATAACATTAGATCGACAAGCTGTTATATACATTAAAAAGGTGTAACAGAAGGTGTTCTTTCGAATCATTGAAGTAATTTTTTACAAAAAAATTTTGAAGATGCTCTTCTGCGAGTTGGAATACTAAAGTACTTAATACTCTACATGAATCGTCAACTTTTTGTCACTTATCAAAAGTAACGAAAGAATAAGTGTCGGGGTTTTTTTTTTCAAGTTTGTATTCCACAGTTTGTTTCACATTTAGCTCTTGCAATCGCTGCCTTTTAATACGCAAAGAATTTAACCTGTTGCAATTTGCTATCCGGTATACGGTGGATAACGGGTGCCGAATCTCCTCTTATTAAATTATGCTGTTGCCTGGCTAACACCACAAAGATAGTTGTCAATAAAATATCAAATATTTTCACTTAATGTGTTCGACCTGTTTTACTGTATTGATAATTTGACGCCCGCTGGCCTATGTATTTATAAAACTTCAAATGAACATTGACAGCCAATCCTAGCCACAAAATTATGACCAGCATTTCACTATCCATCATTCCAGCTCTACGTCATCTGTACGAAAAAAAGTTTGTAGACCAAAGAAGACATGACTCTTATCTTAGTATGATGTATATTTGTAGGCTTTGTGGTCAGGTAGAGTAACGAAAGATGAAAAAGATGAAAAAACAAAAGTCATTCACAAGCTGAATCAATTCATTCACAAAGACGAAAGAGTTCTTTGCAGCTTGTTGCCTCTTGGTGATGGCGTCTATTTTGCTGTTAAAATTTAACGGTTCAACCGTTTTTTAAATCAAACGTATCACGTCAGTTGTGCAATTAATTGTTGTTTTTACAAGTTCTTTGGACAATTAATTGCTCTTTGTTCAAGTTGTTTGTACAATTAATTTATAATTGCTTGATTGTTTGTTTTTTGAGTATTATTAATGCAAATGTTGTTATAATGTTCAATGTAAATCATGATGATTTCATACCAAAATATAACCATTGTATTTGTTCTGATTTAAGTTTGAGCTATATTGACTATTTCCTGTAGAGGCAGGAAAGTACCGCACTCAAATAATTAATTTTTCTGTTGAAAATTTGACCGTTGATTTGATGCATGTGGTTGTTGTTTTTGTTTGAATGCACTCTTGCACGTGTTAAACTGTGCAACTGTTGAATACGTAGGAATTGCTTCGACCTCGGCCAGGAATTCCTTCACTACTTTAGTCTTGCACGTGTTAAACTGTTCAACTGTTGAATACGTAGGAATTGCTTAGACCTCGGCCAGGAATTCTTTCACTACTTTTGTCTTGCACGTGTTAAACTGTTCAACTGTTGGATACGTAGGAGTTGCTTAGACCTCGGCCAGGAATTCCATCACTACTTTTTGTCTTGCACGTGTTAAACTGTTCAACTGTTGAATACGTAGGAATTGTTTAGACCTCGGCCAGGAATTCCTTCACTACTTTTGTCTTGCACGTGTTAAACTGTGCAACTGTTGAATACGTAGGAATTGCTTAGACCTCGGCCAGGAATTCCTTCACTACTTATTGTCTTGCACGTGTTAAACTGTGCAACTGTTGAATACGTAGGAATTGCTTAGACCTCGGCCAGGAATTCTTTCACTACTTTTTGTCAGATATTGAGCGTTGATAAGAAGTTGAAGAATATTCTTGGTTGTAAAAACGGCAATTATTAGAAACTAAAAAAAAAATTTAATCCCAGAGATTGCTAATTGACTCAGCAAACTTTACAGTTTTTCCTTCATTCGGCCCTCAAAAAATTTTGTGTTCTGTCCTTTGACGCTAACCTTCCACTAAGTAATTTGTTTTTGCTCTTGTAATGTGTTTTTGTCTCATGTTTGCTTGTGGTCTTTCGCACAATCTGCGCGAAGTGCTGGTTCACTGCTCTCGAGACTTCACTCGAACGATGGGACTGTATTTTGACAATTGTATTTAACACTTGATAGGATATTTACAGTGGTTTGTGCACGATTTATGATACGGAGTTCCAAACGTTGGTTCTTTGCGACACAAATATATTATTGAAACGTTGAGATTACGGCCAACCGTCAATCTTTAAACTTGAAACTTATTCAAACGCTATCGCCTCCTGCGATACGATTTCCAACTTATCACTTTTGTACGTCTAACAACGTCTGTTTTTCCGAATGCCGAACCAACGCTTGCAAGCTCTTATTTATATTATAATTATTAGGATATGATTTTTGGGCGTTTGCATGACTTGCAACACGCCATTCCGTTTATAGAGTACCGTCATTACCTACATCCTACCGCAATGCCACATTGGGTAGAAAAAGTGTTCCTAAATATTTTGAATTTACGTACAGGATTTCCACTGAAACCACAGTTTAGTATTTATATACGTATTTGTCTAGTAATATATGACTTAACATTTTACATAAACATAATATCCGTTATATCTTAGTATCAAAAATATGACACAGTCACACACTACATAACATAACATGACAATTTACAACATGGTCTGAGTCAGACATGAAAATGTGTTTAGAATATAAATGATATATTAAACGGAAGTTGTGAAAGAGATGAAAAAGAAATACTATCATTGGAAATATTAAGGGGTCAGTCCCTCCCTTTTTTTATTCCCAGACCTCCCACCCCCTGCCGGTGCCTCTGTCTAGCAACAACTGTTTGTGAAAAGTGTAAAACAGTTTTTCTATGCAGATCAAAGTGAATACATTTTTTCCTTTATGTATTTTGAAGGACGCTAACTGACCAATCATGAACGTTCTCGTGATTGTAGCCGGCATGGCGATGTTTAAAAGGTGAAAGAATTCTTTCATTGCTCTCACGTCAAATCTATTACGAATCGTAGACGAATCTATTAATCTTACTTTATTTGGACCTCTGCATGCATGATAGCCTTATAACATTACTTCTATTGCAGAATCATCATGACGGCCACGATATCGATGACGCCATGTTTCCATTAAAGTTATTAGTCATCTTCAGAGCTACAAGATACAACTTAAAACGCTGACATACATGCTATAACCTACTCAACAAGTCAACAAATAAAAACAAAGAAAAATCCTTCCAACCCTTCTAACACCTTAAGGAGATCTTCTGTTTTCTGATGCTGATCATTGTAACAAGTAATTTCTTTTTGGTCCAGTAATATTTTGTTTCACATTTGCAGGTGATCCGACTGAGACATGAATGAAAAAGAGTAGCAGACTTAATTAAGCGAGCTTTTCACAAATGTAGAAGAGCTGACAAAGAACTACAATATTTTGACATACTGACTCGACTGTATAGCACTATATCCGTTTGCAAACAATGTAAAAGTGTGTTTCTATGCAGCACAAAATGAGTAAATTTTTTTATGTATTTGGATAAGAACGTTTATTGACCAACCATGCTTGTTCTTCAACTTTATTATGTTTACATGTATCCATTTGTAACTTTAAAATTAAGGTGCTAAAAGCCAATGCACTTATTTTTACTTTAATCAATTCTTCTCATATAGTGAAAAAAACTTTATGCATCGAGTATAACTTCTTTACAATATCTCTTTAACGCAAATTGTTTGAAATTGTAACCGCATTTTTGGATTTAACACGCATCACTAGTTCTCCACTAACAAAATTTACGACAATTTAATATTGCGGGTATGCTTGTTAAGAATGTTCATACAAAAAATTTCAAAATCTACGTTTCAACTATTCGACACAGCTGCAAACTGCTGAGCACATAACTATCTCAACTTTTCCGATTTATTTCTTAGTTTTGATTCACAAATGCGCATGCATTTTTTTAATAATTTTAAGAACCTTGAGTGTTTTAGTGACAAAAGGGCAGAAAAAAGACTTTCCAAAGTCTTCGTATGGTCAATTAAAGTATTATATTGTTGCCTTAGAGTCGTATGGTGCATGTAAAAAAATTTGAAACCTATTCTATAACTATGCTATGATTTTAATGCTTTTCTAACAAGTAAATATAGCTAAAATTGTAAACATATTTGCATCATGCCAATGCTCCTCAAATTTAACTTAACTTACTGAGCGAACATATACTCGCACTTCGTCCAAAATGTTTGTGGTAAACTATCGTCAATGTACATAGCAGAATACTTTAGTAATTACCCATAATGTGCCAGCAGAACAAATATCAAATTTGTACAGGCTCCAACATAACGATAAAACAAGTCATCATTGCTTTTTACGGTAGCTTAATGAGTAAATAGTTTCGTCTTCTCCTGAGGTCAATGTAACAGAAACTAGTAACGTCACATCTAGTCAACTTTTAGGTTTCTAGTTTTAGGAAACGTACCATCATCTCTTGTCGTTTGTTTATTTAATCAAACACACCATTACCTGCTACTGTTACATGTAAGTATTTATAGTTGTACTTAGAAAACAATAAAAAACATCCTGAGATGTAGACATGTAGCGTAGATACTCGTGAAACGACAAGTACGTGGAATTTTATGAATACATTTCGGTTGACTAACTTTGCTTGAATTACAAGTAAGTAAAGAAGTAGATGCAAAGAAAGAAGAGCCAAGGTAATTTGAGTACTGCCATGATCAACCTAAGAACAGCCAAATTTTTGAAGACTATTGGTTAGTGGTGTATTTATTTTCTGCTGAAGATATCAGGTAAAAAAGAAGGATTTTCTTGGTGCATGTTATATAGCACAAGTCATTTCTAATAACCGCTAAACTAACTAGTATTTTAAAATATAGCAATTTAATAAATGTATAATCGCTTTGTTTATTATATATAAGTTTTGTTTAATATGCAAGGGCCCAGATACCAGCAATTACTGAATAAGTTACCCTGCTAAACTAAAATATTCTATTTTGTTCTATTCTATACATAGTTTAAATTTTCTCTCAATTAAGAACCTTTTGCAAGAGCAATTCTTAATGTTGAAGTTTGTAGGTAGCTAGCTAACTATTAAGTTACTCCAGTTTCCATACTAGTGGTTTTACAATTTCAAAGCTTCAATTTTGGTTAATTGAGGACTTTTTATTAGGGCCAAAAGAAATCATTATTTTTTAACCTTGCAGCAATGCATTACAGTTTTGTTAAAACCACGGTTTTTCGTGTTGCCTGTTTAAAGTGGTTTTCATAATCATTGATTACCTTTTTAAAAAGACAGCCATTATTCATGTAATGCTGTCGCAATCTTCAACATTGTTCAATAACGTATAACTGTTGACTAACGTCTATTCTCTCACATTTTTTAGAGATGAACGAAATTTTTCTTTATGATAAGAATTAATGGGATTGAGAACTCAGTATTTTCTAGTTTATATCCCTCCAAGCCATGTTTGGGATGTGGCGGTTAATGAAGACGTGCATCTGTGATTTCTGTTAACGCATTGATAATAACCAAAATTGTCTTCCCCTTCGTATGTGTCACAAGGTATGCCTCCAGTTGGTAGAAAACCACAATTATGATTGTGAAAAGAATCCACGTGAAAAACTTGAATGTCACTCTGATGTATATACACTGTGCAGTTGGTGCAGTTTTGCCCCCGAATGTCAACAAATTCAACAAATTGGCAGCCTTCTAAAGGACCTAGTACATTGACTTGTTTAATACTTGCTTGAAGATAGTCACGATACACAACACCGTCTTTGTCATAGTTACACGTCATACGAAATTTAGTTGAATCTTCTTTTACGGTATTCATCAACCTTCTGGATTGGCGGTACTTTTCCCAATTGAAGTGTCTTTGATTTACTCGATCGTTTGTGTAAAAGGAAAGATTTTTGAACATCGAGTTGTATTGATATGCGTATGTTTGGATTAATGTCCACGCCATACCAGTATCATTGTCAAAATCGCAAAACACGTTTATAGGCGACCGTCTATTGAATATTTTATACATTCCAGGTTTTCGAGTTCCTTTGGCGTAGTCACGACATGATTTAGCAATGTTTTGACAAAGATTTCCTACGTATCCTGGTGCACATTCACATATAAAACGAGGTGAGGTTTTTGTCGTAGGAATGAAAGAAACATGACGTCCGCCATTTTGACATGGGTTTACAATACAAAGTAGTTGACAAGGTGGTGGTGGTGGGATGCTTTCATTAACCTGAAATTTATATGCTTTCATTAACCTGAAATCAGTATATATATTCATGGTGAATGAGTAACGATTACAATACGATCCTGGCGTATAGTTTTCCATTGGCCTACAATGCGATAGAAGCGTATTAAAGAACTTGCATATCACATGAGGCATTTGATAGAGATCAATGGTATTTTTGCATAATCGTGGAATTTTAGGACTAACCCAAAACTACATGTAAATGTTGATTACGAAAATGATCTAGAAAATGGAAGACATTTTTCTTTTTTGTGATAAACCATAACAATAATCACTTATTCATTACTTTACAGAAGTTTAAGCAGGGCAATCAAAACCAAATAAGAAACCACCATCAAATAAATCAACTAGACCAGAGCCCTTCATACAAAAGAATTGGGACAACGGAAGTAAAATTGCTGAGCGTCTGCCATTTTTGTTCCAAAAGCAAGCAAATACAGAACATTAAAAGGGGGAAAAACAAATTTTCTGTTGTGTTTTCTTGTTCCTGACTATAGACAACGATCCCTACCTTTTGAATTCAGTTGTTCATAGATGTTATAATTATACAAAAGCATTTATTTAATGCAGTGGATATAATTTATATTCATTTGAGACTAATTTTGCCAAAAGGGAGTAGATTTCTATTCATTCTTTGTTGTTTCAATGGCTGTATTGTAACGTAAAATAAAATCATTCTAATCATTTTTTAAGATTTATCTCTTATGTAAAAAGTTATAATTTGCTTTTTTGTAACAAAATGGCGGTTAGGTACCCATGTAACCATATTTTCCCAATCACCATTATTGTAATGCAAAATTCTGAGAATAATACGTATCCCAACTGTTATAGGTACAGGGCTGTGAATTAGACTTAGATACTACTACTTCCCAACATACACGACATTTACAAACCATTTAAGTGTTACAGTTACCTCTTTTGGGACAATTACGCTGATGTCATAATATATGCAGTTTGTTAACGTGTTATTTAGTGGAGTAATATGTTGGTTTATCAATAGCATCTGACACTGGTTGTCATTACACATTTGAAATGATAGGCAAAGACAATGGTGAAGACACTTTATGAAGCATTCTTCCAAGAATTTTACTGTGCTGCTGTTGAATACGTATGAGTCGCTTAGACCTCTTCCAGGAATTCCTTCACTTCTTTTTGTTAGATAAAGAGCGTTGACAAGAAGTTGAGAAACATTCCAAGTTGTAAAAACAGCAACGATGACGGTACTATAAAATAACTCTGTTAATTTAATTCTTGAGAAATTAAAATACGTTTGAATTAATTTACTGATATAAACTTTCTTACTTGAGCCAATTTATGAAGATTAAAATAATTTTATAACGCCAACACTACCGTGTTCAATTTGTAAGAGTTTGAAAAATGTACTGTTTTAAGTCAAAGCGAACACATCTTGCCTTCAACGATTGCCAAAATTGCATTTAGCAGCTTCAAGCAAGCATTACAAACAAACAACCAAATACAAAGGAAATTGAATAGAAACAACCATTTATGCCCACAAGTAGCTTTGGTGTCCAAATAAAAAACAAACCAGTGGGGCTTAAACGTGAAAAAACTATCAAAAGTTCGAAGAAGCTTAGTTATACACAAAAATTGATTAGTGAAACTATTCATCATTAAAATGACTATGACTTTACCTCAAAATAATCTTCAACATCATTGACACCTCAATGCTCAATATTTTTTACTTTTAGCGTTTAGAAAAAAATTTTCGTGTTCAATTTTCTCATGCCAACATGTACAAAGTAATTGACTTTTGCCTCAGTAATGGGGTTTTGTGACACATTTGCAAGTCGTCAGACTCAGACATATGTATATGACATCATAGGGTTTGGAATCAGCAAAGTTATCGACGGCAAGTTTCAAAAGAGCAGAAACGGCACTTTTTCGTTAAAAAACAAGTATTGTCTGCACCATAAAAATAAGCGTTGTTATGCAGCAAAAAAGGCAATGATTTTTTTTTCAATATAAAACGGTTATGATGCTCATTGACTAATCTTGAACATTCCATAGTGTGTTCAGCTTTATAAGCATTGCATGTACCCATTTTTTATTTAACGTGCTAAAAGCACCTTGTTTTTATTCTGATCACTTCTCTTTATCTAAAGACAAAATACATTTCATGTATGTTGTCGAGAAATACAGCAAGTTTTTTAACATTGCATGAGACTTGAGGAAAGTGATGCCACTATTTCACGAGGAGAGTATACATAAGTATTTTGTTACATAGGGAAAAAGATTATAGATTTCGACAGCTTATCAATATAAAATTAACCTCTTTCGGGAGGGATTTGTGCGTCAAAATTTATTTTCTTTTCAAAATGCTACATGACTAACTACCACAAATATGGTCAAGTCCCAAATGCTTTTTGAATCCCTTTTATAAATAAATGAATGAATTTCGTTGTTTAATAAAGAAATGTATTCTTGATTTTTGGCTCCATAGAATTGGCATCCTTTAAAAATTTGAATTTCATGCACCTTATAAACAAATACATTGCAAAAAAAACTCACTTTTAGATCACAGTCAGGATATTTAAAATATTCCGTGCGTGAAGGGTAACAGTTTTTCATGTTTGTGTCCCTGTAGGAATACATTTCATTTATTTTAGCGAAGTGATGTGACCACGAATGAACCAATCACGCTTAAGCGTATTAAAAAAATGCATGCATAACACACAAGCACCTGCATACATAACAAAAATCATTTATAATATCGTTTTGTATCACTGGCTTCTTAGCTTGAGCAACATTCCGAAAGGTTTGGATCATGCCATGCATCTAAACGCTTGAAACAATAAAGTAACTGTCTCATAAAATAACAGCAAGAGAGCATAGTGTTGTAGCCTTTATTTCAATAAGCAGAAGAATGAAAGCTAAATTTTGCAAGCAAACAAAACTGCAAACAATGGCAGTTTCAAAATCTATAAATTTTAAGCCACCACTCTTGATTTAAATTCACGTTTGCTCTGCCAGAAATGCATATCAAGTCAATTTAAAGGCAAAACTTGTCTTTGTTGCAGTCATGTTCAAAATTCTCTCGACAGTAATTTCGTCTTCATATTTGGATAGCCTGATTAAAACATGGGAACTGCATCATATTAGTACTCATTTTGCATATGCTATTTTATAAAACTACTTCTACTTCATACAGCAAGCACTCCATCTTTTTTTTCACGCTTAATTTTTTGATCAATGAATCAAAATTTTTTTGCAAACAATGTTATTTCAGAGTTTATAAAATACACATCAACTTCTTAAAGCCTATTGCAAGGAGTGTAAACTGAATATATTTTAATGATTAATAAGTAATGAGTTATATTGTCAGTTCGTCCAAATTTACAGGCGTTGTCATATCGCAAATATATTACTCGCTGTCTTATCAACATGTTCCCAGTTCCTTTGCATGTGCTTTAACAGCGTTGTGCCTTTTTACACAATTTACGATTGACAAAAAGATGTTTTACAACTTGTAAGATGTAAATCATTTGAATTAAGTTTTCATCATCGTTCTTTCATTGCATGTAGCTTGAGTATAACATAACGAGTTTGACAAAGTGTGTCAAAAGTCCTGTCTATAAACTATACATAAATACAATGTTTAGCATTTATTAGCTCTTTGTAGTTTTTAATTTTCATTCCAGGAAGACGTAAAAGAATGAAAACTTTGTACAGGTGAAGCAGTGACAAGTTAATAAGATATTTGTGAATATTTTCTATATCAGTGAAATCAATGGCTTTCTTTGGCTTGAATTTTGCTTGATTCCAGACTCCCTTACATAAGGCAAAAAGAAAGCTTGATTTTTTTAAAGCAGCAATGTATATTACAATTTGTTACAATTAGAGTTTTTACGGAAACTTTTGCTTTCTCTGCTTTTCCTAATCAGTGACCATGTCTTTTTAAAAGACAGCCATCACAAACAACGCTGTAACAATCATAATAATCGATCCGTAATAAATAACTGTTGACTTATCAACTTCCTTTTTTAGTTTTTCATGAGATATCAACTAAATGTTTCTTGATTGTCTGCTCAGTAGTGTTTTAGAGCACACCCCTCAAACCCATGTTTAGGACGTGGAATTTGACGATGAATTAAGTACATCTGTGATTACTGTTAACGCAATCATATTTAGTAGTTAACAAAAACACAGCCTTTATTGAAATAAGAGTCTACGTAAAAAGCTATATTATCATACTGATAAACAAGCACAACACATTATCTACAATTGCGTCCACACGAACGTCAACGAAATCCATGAATTTACACCGACTTGGCATGGAATGAAAAAGATCGACTTGTTTAATAAATTGCAAATGTAAAACAGTGAAACGACAAATTAATGAGATATTTACGATTATTTTCTATACAAGCAAAATCAGGCTGTCCATGGCTTAAATTTTCCATGGCTTAAATTCAGTTTTTGAAAAGATGAACGAAATGTTTTTTGTGAAAATAATTAATGGGATCATTTATTCGGTAGTTTTCTAGATTGCGTACACCCCTCCAAGCCATGTTTGGGTCGTGGAAGTTGACGACGACGTACATCTGTGATTAGTATTAATGCATTCATAATAACCAAAACTACCTTCCCCTTTGTTGCCAGTACAAAGTACGCCTCCCGTTGGTATAAAGTCACAGTTTTTATTGTTGTAAGAATCCACGTGAAAAACCCTTATATCATCCTGATGAACAAACACAGTACAGTTTCGGCAATTTAGCCCACGAATGTCAACGTAATCAAAAAATTTGCCACCTCGCATGGAATTGAAAATATCGACTTTTTTAATACTTGCTTGAAGATAGTCACGATACGCAACACCATCTTTGTCATAATAAAGTAAATGGTTTGAACCCGGGAGTATCGTTATATGTTTGTAAATGATGATCGTCCAGGTTAATAAAGTCCTGAGAAGGACTTTTTTTGTTGTTTTTGACTGACGTTTCAACAACCTTAGCGGTAGTCATCTTTAGAGTCAAATGAGGAGTAAACGTCAGGTTAGCCGTATTTGTTATCTGGTTCTTACGTCATTGTATTGTGTGTACAGGAAATGTGAATTGTCATTGTGGATTAGTGTGAAGTGAAATAATTTATTTTTAGTTGTGATGTGTAATTTAGGTGTGATGTTTTTAGTTGTAATGTGTGGGTGTCAATTGTGTATTGTCATTGTGAATTAGTTTGAAGTGTAATGTTTTTAGTTGATCGTTTGTTTGTATTGTGAATAAGTCGTTTGTAAGGTGCCAGTAATTGCTGTGATCTGTTCAGGGGGGTTTGTTCCAAGTTATTGTTTACTTACAGTATTGACTATATTACTTACAGTGCTGACTATAGACAACGGCTTACATTAGAAAGTTGGTATACCAACTTGGAACAAACCCCCCTAAACAGATCACAGCAATTAGCGGCACCTTACAAACGACTTATTCACAATACAAACAAACGATCAACTAAAAACATTACACTTCACACTAATTCACAATGACAATACACAATTGACACCCACACATTACAACTAAAAACATCAAACCTAAATAACACATCACAACTAAAAGTAAAATATTTCACTTCACACTAATCCACAATGACAATACACATTTCCTGTACACACAATACAATGACGTAAGAACCAGATAACAAATACGGCTAACCTGACGTTTACTCCTCATTTGACTCTGAAGATGACTACCGCTAAGGTTGTCGAAACGTCAGTCAACAACAACAAAAACAATCTTTGTCATAGTTACACGTAATACGAAATTTGGTGGATTCTTCTTTAATGGAGGTCATTAATGCTTTGGAATGGCGGTATTCTGTCCATTTGAAATAGTGCATATTAAAAAGATTGTTGGTAGAAAATGGAAGCTTCTGAGTTGTAGATTCTGAGCTAATATTCATAAATATGTTCTGGAAGTAATTATAAGAATAATTAAATATCATTGATGTCCATCGGAGATTCACTTTTCCAAAGTAATAACTGTAGTTGGGGAGTCTTTTAATAATCCTGCTACATGTATAATGAATACCCCATCATTTCCTGTCTTTCAATTATATATAGATACAATATTTAGCATTTATCTGCTCTTTGCCCTTTTAATTTTCATTCATGGAAGACACAAAAGGATTAAGACATTGTAAAGGTGAAGCAGTTAAACAAAAAAATTTAATGAGATATTTATAAATGTTTTCTATATCAATGAAATCAAGCTTTTCCATGATCAATGACAATCTTTTTCATGACATGCAGTAAAAATCTTAAAATCCTTGATCCGTAATAAATAACTGTTGACTAATTAATGTCTATTTTTTAGTTTTTTGTGAGATATGAACTGAATGCTTGTTTGTGAAAAGAATTAGTGCGATTGACTATTTAGTAGTGTCTTAGATCATTCCCCTCCTAACCAAGCTTGGGACGTGGAAGTTGACGATGAAGTACATCTGTGATTACTGTTAACGCATTTATAATAGCCAAAACTGTCTTCTCCTATATTATTATCACAAGGTAGGCCTCCAGTTGCAACAAAATCACAGCTTTTGTGATAAGAGTCCGCGTGAAAAGCTACATTATCAACCTGCCAAAACTTCACCGTACATTTTCTACAATTTTGCCCACGAACATCAACAAAATCCACGAACTTACACTGACCTGAAATGGAATGGAAAATATCGATTTGTTTAGTACTTGCTTGTAGATAGTCACGATACACAACACCATCTTTGTCATAGTCACAAGTCATACGAAATTTGGTGGATTCTTCTTTAATGGAGGTCATTAATGCTTTGGAATGGCGGTATTCTGTCCATTTGAAATGGTGCATATTAAAACGATTGTCGGTAGAAAATGGAAGCTTCTTAAAGACCGAGTTGTGTTGATAAGAGTACGATTGGATTAGTGTCCACGCCATACTAGTATCATTGTCAAAATCACAGAACACGTATATTGGCCACTGTTTATTGTATATTTTATACATTCCAGGTTTTCGAGTCCCTTTTGCGTAGTCACGACATGATCTAGCAATGTTTTGACAAAGATTTCCTACGTATCCAGGTGCACATTCACATTTGAAACGAGGTGAGGTTTTTGTCGTAGGAATGAAAGAAACACGACGTCCGCCATTTTGACACGGGTTAACAATACAAAATAGTTGACAAGGTGGTGGAGGTGGGATGCTTTCGTTAACCTGAAATATAATTTCGTATTTATAATGAATTCTGATCACCAGAAAGAGAACTAACGCACAATTTCCCATCGTACTATGAAGTATAATGATATTTAACATTCATGCAAGACATAACTAAGAATTGTTTATTTGACCTCTAGCTTAGAAACTATGCGATACAGCTCAGTTTCAAACATTACAGTTACCTGTTTTGAGATGATTACACTGATGCCATAATATGTGCAGTGTGTCATGGTGTTATCTAGTGGAGTGATGTGTTGGTTGATTGATAGCAACTGACATTTATTGGCATTACACATTTGAAATGACATGCAAAGACAATGTTTAAAACATTTCATAAAACATTCTTGGACATCTTGTACTGTGCTGCTGTTGAATACGTAGGAGTTGCTTAAACCTCTTCCAGGAATTCCTTCACTTCTTTTTGTCCAATAGTAAGCGTTGATAAGAAGTTGAGAAGCATTCCACGTTATGAAAACAGCGATGAAGAAGGAACTGAAAAATAATTACTACTAGTGTAAAGCTAGATGTAAAAAATCTAAATAGTGCTTTGCACTAACGGCCATTTCTTTGGTACTTTTAAAAACTGATGTAAAATGCAAAACTGTTAGAAGGTGCAGTCAATTCCACGATTAAAAAGGGCACTTTAAACATAGGCAAAGGAAGCAGATGGGGCTAGGAGGGCTTTTAGCCTTTAAACAAACTGGAGTTTGTCTTAGGGGATGAAGGTTAAAATTCCCATAATCTAATAATTACTTACACTATACTAGAATATGTGGCTTGCAATGAGCACCACTGGTTATTTTTTAAATTCTTCATTTTGTATAATATATTGACTGTACTAAATTGTTGCATTGTTTTTACTATGCGTATTTTAATGAATTACAACTAAATAATAAATATTTAACAAATTCCTTAAAATGTTGGATTTAAACTGGACTCTAGTATATTTAAATGCAACAGAGACCCTTAAAGTTAAAAAGAGCTTAGGTCAGCTCAACTAAGCATCGACTTCAGTCCCCCTAAATTAGTCGCAAAAATACATTTTTATCTCGGTATAGTTCACAATAATGTAAGTATCACAAGTCTTCATTATTTAAAGAATTTGAAAGATCTACTGTTTGTAAACATTGCGAAGATATTCTGCATTCAACGTGAAACTTCGATTCTGCTGACCTTTAAAAGAGCTTCTATATCCAAGCTCTATTTTGAAATAAAAATTCATGTACGTGAAAAAAAAAACATTTTCCTACAATAGGTGGGATGTTAGAAAAACGCAGTTTTTGTAAAACTAATGGAAATTTGTTTAAGAAAAATATTCACCATGATTGTGTTACTACCTCGAAATTCTCTTCACCATATTGCTTATTGTGTCAGTAATCTTCCGAGTTTTCTTCACTTTAAGCGACTCAGATGAAAAAACTGTCTTCTGTTGTCTGATGCAGGGTCCGTATTAAGTAATTTATTTTACATTCATTAATTTGGTTTTGTCAAACATTTGCAGGTGGTCAGACTCAGACATGTATGAAAATTTTCCTTCCAATCGAGGTTATATTTTCCTGTTAGAACTAGCTTCAAAACAAAATATTATATAACAGTGTTTTTATGCAGCAAGAATAACAACATTTGCTGTCATTAATATCGATCAGGAGACTTTATTTTTTTTGTTTGGCTTTTTGTCAGTAGCCTAGTAGACTAATCACGAACGTTCCCGCCATATAACTATTTTATAATTAAATGTATGCATACATCTGTAAATTTTTAAGGTGCTAAAAGTCATTGCACTTGTTTTTACTTTTAGCAACTCCTTTGCAAAAAGAGAAAAAATCATTTACATTCTGAGTAACCTGCTCACACCAGATATAAATGATTATATTTTTATACTGGTTTACCGTTTTTTCATCTGTTCTGAATTGAAGGACGATTTTAGTCATGTGACAATTTTGACGAAGATAGCTTTGAAATTCCACTTGAAAAATACACATTACTGTTCAAACACTGCCAATGAGGATCATCAAGCACCCAATAAAAATTAGAAAAAATCGACCCAGTAATATCTTTGGGTATATATTTGAATTCTTTCTTTAATGCAAAATTAATGAAAAGTCAAGAAGTTTTGTCAAGCAGGATATCAAAACTCACAAATTTTGAATCATGCCATCTAAGCACTTGAAACCATGAAATAATTGTTTTATTAAATATAAGCAAGATGGCATGCATAGTGCTGTAGAGTCTTTATTTGAATAAGTGGAAATATAAAAGCTAAATTTCGCAAAAACCAAGCTTAACATTTAGTAAACAAAGAAGTTAACGTTGTCTCTTCTAAAAATGCATATCTAGTCAATTTATGCAAAAAAATTTGCGAGTACAGAGGAATGTCGATAAAAGTGCTTGTTTTGTCTGTTTACTTTCTTTCGAAATCAATTGTTTTTGGCGAGCTGTGACTACAGGTATATGTATATCCCCTTCCCCAATAATCCACGTACTGTTCTGCCTCCCTGAAAACTTGTGTTTATTTCAAGACATATTCAAATTTCTCACGAAAGTAATTTCATTTTCCTTTTTTTAGTACCTGATCCAAACACTGGATAGTATTTTGTAACTCTACTTTTCAGTTTCCACAGACATCAACCACTCGCATATTTCTAGTTTAGTAATTTAAAACAATTTGATTTTTAAAGACTATTGATTATATTGCAAAGAATATAAATCGAATACTTGAATTATTGATGAATATGAGATAAATTGTCAGTCTGTCCAAAATTACTCGTTGCTATAGATGCTATATTGCAAATATACTACTTGCTGTCATATTAACTTGTTCCCACTTCCTAGTTTTTATTGGGAACCTTACCATAAGCTAAATCAAAAATCATCTCATGAAACTCGATTTGCTCGTGTTTTGTTTTTTTTTGTAAAGTTGTGTCTCTCTAGATTGACAAAAAGGTGCTTTTAACTACATCATTCACTTAAGTTTTATTATCAGTTTGTTCATCACTGTTGGTTTGGCACTAGTGAGGCAACGTGGGTTTGAACTTTAAAATCTGCGTAACAGAAATTAGTTGTAGATTCTGAACTAATATTCATAAATATGTTCTGGAAGTAATTATATGAGTAATTAAATATTATTGATATCCATCGGAGATTCACTTTCCCAAAGTAATAACTGTAGTTGCGGAGTCTTTTAATAATCCTGCTACATGTATAATGAATACATCATCATTTCCTATCTTTCAATTATATATAGACACAATATTTAGCATTTATCTGCTCTTTGCCCTTTTAATTTTCATTCATGGAAGACATAAAAGGATTAAGACATTGTAAAGGTGAAGCAGTTAAACAAAAAGTTAATGAGATCTTTATAAATATTTTCTATATCAATGAAATCAAGCTTTTCCATGATCAATGACAATCTTTTTACAAAACATTCATGACATGCTGTAAAAATCTTAAAACCCTTGATCTGTAATAAATAACTGTTGACTAATTAATGTCTATTTTTTTAGTTTTTTGTGAGATATGAACTGAATGCTTGTTTGTGAAAAGAATTAGTGCGATTGACTATTTAGTAGTGTCTTAGATCACTCCCCTCCGAACCAAGCTTGGGACGTAGAAGTTGACGATGAAGTACATCTGTGATTACTGTTAACGCATGTATAAAAGCCAAAACTGTCTTCTCCTATATTATTTTCACAAGGTAGGCCTCCAGTTGCAACAAAGTCACAGCTTTTGTGATAAGAGTCCACGTGAAAAGCTACATTATCAACCTGCCAAAACTTCACCGTACATTTTCTACAATTTTGTCCACGAACATCAACAAAATCCACGAACTTACACTGACCTGAAATGGAATGGAAAATATCGAATTGTTTAGTACTTGCTTGTAGATAGTCACGATACACAACACCATCTTTGTCATAGTCACAAGTCATACGAAATTTGGTGGATTCTTCTTTAATGGAGGTCATTAATGCTTTGGAATGGCGGTATTCTGTCCATTTGAAATGGTGCATATTAAAACGATTGTCGGTAGAAAATGGAAGCTTCTTAAAGACCGAGTTGTGTTGATAAGAGTAAGATTGGATTAGTGTCCACGCCATACTAGTATCATTGTCAAAATCACAGAACACGTTTATTGGCCACTGTTTATTGAATATTTTATACATTCCAGGTTTTCGAGTTCCTTTGGCGTAGTCACGACATGATCTAGCAATGTTTTGACAAAGATTTCCTACGTATCCTGATGCACATTCACATATAAAACGAGGTGAGGTTTTTGTCGTAGGAATGAAAGAAACATGACGTCCGCCATTTTGACATGGGTTTACAAGACAAAATTTTTGGCATGGTGGTGGTGGTGGGATGCTTTTATCAACCTGCAGGTTAAATTTGATATTCATGATGAGTTATGAGTTTCAAAAAGACGACTAAAGCTCAATTTCCAATATTAAAATTTTCTTGTTTTTATATGTCGGTTGATCATGTTTAGACTAAAAATTACCATGTTTTCATATAATCTTTGGCAGGAGCTCTGGAAGCAGCCGGTGTCCTTCATATGGAAAACACTCGCAAACTTTTTAATTTTTTCTAAGTAATAATTGGTGTTTTCAGCTGGTCCTTCGGTAAACTAGATCTCCATAATAAATTTCATTGCCATGCTCACAAAGATATGTTTTAGGCATTAAACATTAGTTGTCCATAATAAATTTCATTGGCATGCTCACAAAGATATGTTTTATGCATCAAACATTAGTTCTCTATAATAAATTTCATTGCCATGCTCACAAAGATATGCTTGTGCATTAAGCATTGACGTAATTTGCAAGGGATTTGCTTATAATGAACAGCGACGGAAACATTGTGAAAAATATTTGTGATCATTTATAGAATGTAAAAACAGCTGTGTAAAATAATCCATGATATTCCTACCGTTATAGCATTTAGGATGGATTTCGCATTAAGGAAGGTCATTTTGATTAATATATATATTGGTGAAAAATTGTTGTTAAAATCGGAAAAATATTGTTTTCAGAGAGACATGCTCAAATAATTTGGACACCCTCATTGTTCAAAAGTTTCCAGAGCCCTTGATCTTTGCTCAATTATATTAACATCAAACTGCACGTGAATGCTGTTTGCCAACATGATCAAGCAATGCCATTCTTTCATTAAGATTTTTCTATTTAAATTCTTGCTTAGAAACTATGGGATAAAATTTTCTGTTTCAAACATCACAGTTACCTCTTTTGAGACAATTACACTGATGTCATAATATGTGCAGTGCGTCATCGTGTCATCTAGTGGAGTGATGTGTTGGTTGATTGATAGCAACTGACATTTGTCGTCATTGCACATTTGAAATGACATGCAAAGACAATGCTGAAAACAATCCATAAAACATTCTTCCACGTCTTGCACTGTGCTGTTATATAATACGTAGGAATGGTTTAGTCCTCTTCCAGGAATTCCTTTACTTCTTTCTGTCAAATATTGAGTGTTGACAAGATGTTGACTAACATTCCATGTTGTAAAAACAGCGATGAAGAAGGAACTGAAAATAATTTTGCTAGCGTAAAGCTAGATGCAACAGACGCAAATAGTGCTATGAACTGGCTGGAATTTCTTTGTTACTCTTGAAAAGTTATATAAAAGGCAAAGCAGTTTGATATGTAAGGTGCAATTAGCTCATTAAAACGTCACTTATAAGCTATTAAGCTTGCTATGAGCCTTAAGTTATTTTTCAGTTAAGTAAAATTTGGTTAATTACACCACAAAATCACAGTCGTAAGAAATTTAAGTCTATTATTTCGATATTGATCAAAGATATTTACTGCCTTGAAAGACCAACTGTTTCTATCTGCCTTTAGGTAGTTCACAATGTGAATATCACAAGTCTTGATTACTTTCAAGAATTTGAAAGATTTACTGCTTGTAAGTAATGCAAAGTTATTTTGCTTTGAACGAGAAACTTCCATTCTGCTGGCCTTTACAAGAGCTTCTAATAAAGCTCCATGTTGAAATAAAGATTCATACGTAAAGAATAGAGCAAACATTTTCCTAGACGGGCTGGGATCATAAAAATTAGTAAAGTAAAATAAATTTAAAATGAACGAAAATTTGCTAAATGAAAGTATTCATCATGACTGTACCTCAAAATATTCTTCACCATACTATTTTTTCTCTCAGTAATCTTTCACTTTCAGCCACCCAAATAAAATTGTCCTCAATTTTCGGACGCGGGGTCTTTACTAAGTAATCTGTTTATGCTCTAGTAATGTAGTTTTCTCAAACATTTGCAGGTGGTGAGACTCAGGCTGATGTATGAAAATTACCTTTATACATGAGTGAGCTTAATGGCCGGAAGTTGTGAAAGTCTGAAAGAGCTATAAAGCCCTTCATCTAATCGCGGTACTATTTCCCTACTAGAAATAGCTTTAAAACTAAACATTATAGAACAGTGTTTTTCTGCAGCAAGAATGACAACAGTTTCTCTCATTATTATCGATGATGAGGAGACATTAATTATTTTGGTTGGGTTTTTTTATCAGTAGCATCGTTGACCAATCACGAACGTTCCCACCATATAACTATTTTATAATTACATGTATCCATTTGTATATTTAAGGTGCTAAAAGTCAATGCATTTGTTTTTACTTTTAGCAACTCCTTTGCAAAAAGAGAAAAAGCCATTTAGACACAGAATAACCTGCTCAGTAGCAGCTTTAAGTACTCATATTTAACATTGGTATACCGCTTTTTCTTCTGCTCTGAATTTCAGTCATGAGTCAATTTTTATCGCAAAAAACTTGCAACATTACGACGTAAACACAGTCGATGAGGATCGCAACGGGCCAAATCAAAATTTGAAAAAACCAACTTAGTAATATCTTCGTATATATAGTTGATAATCAAATTTCTATAATTATTCCTCTCACTTCTGAGATTTTCACTTGTAGTTAACGTAAGCATTGCTTATTTGAAGGTATGTTACTATTTGGAGAATACTTAACTCGAGAAGAATATATAGCAGCTCAATAACCTGCCATTCGCATGAAATGTATATAATAATTATCCAAACTGCTTCTAATCAATTTTTAATCTAAAAATAAGTGATAAAGCTACAGTACATTGTGTATTTTTAGAAAACTACAAGCACTGGTTTAGTTTAAGGAAGACAGAGGTGAATGTTCTGTATGAAAATAGATCCGCTCTCACGTTGTTTTTCATTTTTACAGCTGATTTGAATTCTTTCTTTCATGCAAAATTAATGAAAAGTTAAGAGTTTAGTCCAGCAGTTTCGTCCATATTATAAATATAGTTGTCATATTGCAAACTCGCGCATATCTTAAAAGGTAAATGTTAATTTTGAAAAGCGTAATTTGAGGATACGATGTATTAGATTGAAAAGAAAAGATGCATAAGTCCCAAAATCAGGAAAATATTTCACGAGTAAACAAAGTGTTTTAATTATTATTTGCTTGTATAGAAAGAATTTTCGTTTTAAAACGGACTAAAAGTTCTTTCAAATTCTTGGATGCGACGCTTAAATCGCAATCGATCAACAGCAAATTGTTCCCATTTTCCTTTGCGCGCCTTGCGATAAGCGAAATCCCAGCATCTCATAACATGAACAACAGCTAGATTATCATCTTTTTGAAAAGAAACTCGCTTTGATTGTTTTCTTGGTGACGTGGCGTGACACAGATTTTTTGATTGGCTGAAAGATGTTCTAATTATTTTATCATTTGAATGAAGTTTCTTAAAATTAAATTTTTCATCACGATTGGTTTGAGTATAACATAACGAGTTTTGCCAAGTATGTTTAAAATCCACACAACTACTTGCAGATTCCAAGTTGACGTTCGTAAATACGTTATGAAGGCAATCTTGAGAACTTAGGTGATAGTTGAGATCCATTGTAGGTTCTATGTTATGTTTACTATGTGCATGATCTTTTAATAATTCAGAAACATGTGTAGGAAAGGTACCTTTCTTACTCCTAGTTCTTGTGAACACACTGTTATTTTCAGTCATTACATGACATTGTTCGGCATTCTTTTGCTTTTTGCCATTTTGATTTTCATTCATGAAAGATGAGGAAAGTTCACATTTAGACGACCCATCGTTATAACGTACAGTAACATGACGTTTTATACGGCGTTGTAATTTCCACAATAAAACCATTGCTGCAATTATTCGCACAAACGTGCTCCTCAAATACAATAAAATCGTCGTCGCTGTCATCTGAACAGCTGTCTAACGAGAACTGTTCGCTGAACACGGAATCGCTGCGTTTACTATCATATGATAAAATTTGTAGTCGTCTGTTAAAGGCTTTTGCTCGAAGGGCTCGCGTATGTCAATGAAAAACGAAACGGGTTTTAAACGGAAACATGATTTACTCATATCTATAGATGCGTTTTCACGAGAGTTTCGAGGAAACTTCCTCCTAATATCACAATGCAAACTTTCTTCAACAAAGATGACGATTCGCGAGTGGTGTCTATTAAGTCAAAGGTGCAAGTATCATGCGAACTTTTATCGCCATTAGAAATATCTTCTATACCACTATCTAATCTTTGAAATACACGATTTGGATTAAGACAATCATTATTGAGTTGAAGATGATCTTTTGCTAACTTTAAGTTGAAGCATTCACGTTCATTATGAATTATTTCTTTACTATCTGTTATGATAAAATCATTTGCCAGCGAGTGAAAAAAAGTTGGTTGTACCATTTTCACATTATGAAGCAGAAGGTTTGTGGAAAAAATTACAGCAGATTTCTTTTGCTTACATTCAAAGACGACATTTTGAAAAGATGGTTCCTTAAAAGATATCTGTCTTTTAGTCTCTCTTTCCGATGTTTGAGATTCTACAATGACTTCTTCAAGGCTTTCTGAAGACTTGGTAGATTCAAATAAAGTATTATATTGTTGTATTCTTTCCAAAAGATTACAGACATATGGCATATGAAAAAGGCTTTGAAATTTACACCATAGCTTTGCTATAATTGAATCTTCCTTCAATGGAGTATCGCTGAATCGGTCATCCACTGTTAAGATATTTCCATCATTCCAATGTTCATCAAAATTTAACTCCATTCTCGGGTCTTTAGTTGGAAACACATTCATATCCACACTGTCTGCTAAATGAGTTGTGGTAAGAAAACTATTCCCTATGTACTTTGGCACAGTGGCAAAGTAATTACCCATAATTACTAACGTAACGAATGTCAAATTTCCAAAACAATCAATCTTTCGTTCTTTTTTCTGGCCACACTTCAAAGGGTGACCCACACAATGACAAATTCTTCACATCAATTGAAATCTGCCAAAAAAAATGAACAAACAATTGTAAAGAGCTGTTCAAACTTTAAAAAGTGTCCATAAAAGCATCAAATAACTTTGGGCCAACTAACTTGGAGCAATAACCTACATTTCATACCCAGTGTTAACTTTGTTATGAGTTTAGATACAGAAGGAAAGTCAGCCAGAATTATTACTCTTTTCTGGAAACTTTTGGAAAATTTAGAAAACTTTCAGCAAAATTAGTGTTCATCTTGTTGAAAAATTAAGGTCATTCCTTGTTTTTACAGTAAATGAAAAGAAAAATTTTTTGCATTCTGTGAGCATACCACTTAATTGTTCTTGCTCTGGTGGAAATCTTAAGTAAGATCTTACCGACATCTTGTAAGAATTTAAGATAGGAAACTAAAGCTCTTGGGATAAGGAAGTACACAATGTACATACAGTACAATGAACAAATTAGATTTTCGAGGTTAGGGGTTGATTACATGAACTGTGCAAACTCTTGGTTTATCTCTTAAACTCATAAAATACTCCAACAGCAAGACATTCTTGATGTGGAAGGAAAAGTATTTGAAATATTTCCAGTTTAGTAAAGAAACAGGGGGACTTGGATTCCAATGTACGTAGGTGTAAAGAAATACACAGAAAGATAGCCCAAAAGCAAATTCAAGGGTTTACCAAAAAATAACCAGATTTGTGGAAAATATAGATTACTATTTCTTTGATTGATATCACATCATAAAAAGAGAATTAGCGGTTCAAGTTATACATCTTTGTATTAAACTAACAACTATCAACGGATTAACTATAGTCGTACTTCTATAAAGCACATTTAGCATAAGCAAAGATTATCGATATGAACGATCGTGCAGCTTTGTAGCTATCTAAATTTTATCAGAAATTCAGAGCAGTAAAAATGCCAGCTCTAGACAAAACTGTGGTACATGTTGTGTTTAAGATCTGGCATTTTGGATGAAACAAAACAAATAAAAAAATGCTCACACAAATTACTCGTATTAATGAAAGACCTTTCAGTCGTGAAGACGGCAAGAAAAAATATATATGTCTGGAATGTTTAGTTTTGGGATACTTGAACACTTTACACAATAAGTAAAAATTTCGCTGACTTCGCTTAATCAAGAAGTCTCCGTCATTAATAGAGCAATGTATTGTGATAAAATGAAACGAAACATCGCATTAAACATGACGATGTCGTGTCACGCCTTTACGGTTTAAAATCTCGTTCAAATACGATTAGGACTCACCTTTTAAAAAAAGCACGCAAATTTATTTCTTGTTTGACCCATGAAAAATTATGCAATGAATAGTATTATCAACCCTTCTTCTGTGCTCTTTCACTGCAAAAATATCAGCCTTATAATCGTCGTTCATTTTCTCAAAGCTGTTACGAAAATTCAAACACCGGCAGCTCGTTAAACTATTCATCAACATTTTCTTTCTTCATTAATCTAAATTTTGTAACAAAGAACAGTTTTCATTTCTGGCATGGTCTCCATACTTTTACTATTTTTCCTTGAACTTGTCTACAGCTGAAATACTTGGCAATTCAATTGAAATACTTTATAAGTCTAAAGTTCAATTGGATAAGTTTCCTGTTTTTAGTTCGACAACCGGTTAAATTGAAAGCCTACTCACGAGGTTGTGACTATTACAAAATTCCTTTTTAGACGTCCTTAAAATTCCTACAGTAGGAATCGAATCCGAACTTTCCATTTTCCAATATATAAGTCCTTCGCCACATTCTCATGAAATTGGTTTATTTGTGACTTTTCATTTCACCGACTCTTCATTCTCAAACAGTAAACTGCACACAAACATTAAAGTTTCCTCATTAAACTGCTTCAAATCAATTAAAATTCTAATAGTTAAGGATAAACCTTAGTTTAGCGGCTGGTCTTATGTAATAGCGATATTTTTAGCCCATTCTATTGGAAGATGTACTAGGGAAAACCCTCTGGGAAAACTGTAATAGTGGGAGACTGGGAGAACGATTGTCTGATGACAACCAATTATGATTTTCTAGTTGCGAAACTTACTTGGTCTAAAAAAGTAATTGAAAATGCGAATCACGTTATATTCCAGAAATCCTAAGAATAAAACATTTTTTTAGTTATTTTGATGTGTTGACTCACACACAGAGAAAGTAAAACTAAAATGCTGACGCAGCTAACGTAGGCAACAACAAAACAATATAAATTGCAATCTTTTACCTGTTTGTCTCATTTGTTTGTCCCATTGGTTTGTACAGTGGACACGACATCAGCTACGTCAGAGTTTTTTGTTTAAAATTGTTTATTTCTCGCGGGAAATAAAAAATGAGAATAGTGAAAACGGACAAATATGGAGACAAAAGCTAACCCATATCCCATGTTCCTATGTCAACTCCTTGCCTTGCTTCCGTTGTCGAAGGCTGATAAGGCTGATAGTTCATGGTGATAAAGCTGTGTGAAAAGCCTTGAATGTGACAATGTCAATTTTTTATCGAACGGAAGAAATCGTGTTCTTTCGAAGTAAAACTTGTTAAAGTAAGTCAGGATTTGTAAGTAGATTACGTGAAGACTAATTAAAATTACTGAGATCAGAATAAATAAGCTGGAGTATGTTAGCTGTGATGCTAGTGGAGTTCAACTTCGTTTACGCTAGTGCACTTTTTTTTATATTACTGTACGCGTTAAAAGGTTACTAAAAATGAGTTGGTCTTGGTTGGGATCAGATGATGAGGATGAAACAGTTGAAATTGGTGATGATGCTACTTCTGCGGTATTAATTTGGTTCATTATTATGCCACAATGCTCCATGTATTTCTACATGCATTTCCTTTTTGTATAACGAAATACAATTCTCATGTTTTAGGGATCGCATGGTAGTCGTGACGGCTTAATATTTCTTGTTGATTTTTCAAAGTCAATGTTTGATACCCTAGAGGAGGCAACTCCTTTTCAGTTGGTTATGAAGGTACAATCTTGAACAGTTTAATATATCACAAACTAGGAATAGTTTCAATAAATTTACAGGATATTTGATAGGGGAAATTTTGATTTGATTTTAATTTTCTACCATGTTTCTTTTAAGTCAAGGGTCCTGGTCCAAAGGCTGCATGCTTTATTAGTAAAATTAAAAATATATGTATTGGTGAAACAGATTGTTATTCCCATGTGATCTTATCAGCACAATACTAATTAAACATTTTAATAATCGACAATATTTTCAAAACTTGGTATATAAATTTTTTTGTGCAGAATGTAATTCTTGCTACATAAAGTAAAACCACCCGACATCTAACCACTAGAATCAAAGGCACACACCTATGACTAAAACACACACAACTACAAACATCTACTAAGTCCTGAATGCAAATCAAAATACACTTCTTCCAGTTTCACAACACCCCAAATAAGCTCTTTACATAAGAAAACTTAAACATAACCTTAACAAACAAGTCCAACATTTCAACACAATCTTTCAATGTGTAACTTCCTTCTTTTCTCACTTACCTACTACACACATCCTGCATCCGGTCATTATTTCATAACAATTTGTAAGTAATTATTATATTCACATTAGATAAAAATATGCTATAGTAATATCTCACTATAGCATATTTTTATCTAATGTATTCCACACTGTAAATATTTTATCCATTCGCACTGAAGATGACCAATAGAATTAAGTTGAATTCAACTTAATTTTGTTTAAACAAAATAGAAGTTTCAAAAATATTGTTTTTTATTTAAAATGTTTAAATATTGTTATTCATCTACCACTACCAGAATATACCAAACACTTATAAGCTCAGCTCATTTCTTCTAAAATCTCATAGCTTTTCACATTAACAAAACTAACCCTTGTCAATTTGGTTGGTTTAATTTATTTTATTGATTGTTTGTTTCTATCCCCAAATACTGATAATTGGGTGCCCAAGCTAGTCTGTTCATGATTTTTGTTGCAAATATATTTGTGGTCGTTTCTCAGTGTGCAGTATCAACAATGAAGAATCAGATTATTGCCAATGAGAAAGATCTGTTTGGAATTGTTTTCTTTGGCACAGTAAGTAAATTATAAAATTTTCAGATAAACAGATAGAATTATCGTGATACAACAAGTAAACTCTCTGATTTAATGAGTGTATGTATTTTGTTCTTAAATATGATCATTTAGTTTTTAGAATAAATGCCTAATTAAAGCAAGGCTAGTACTGCCTCCACCCACACCCCTAAAGTACCTATCCCTACAAAATATAGATTCATTCATCTGCATATATTTTTAAATATTTTTTTCCTGCTTTGTTTAATAAGCATAGAGAAAGAGTTTCATTCAACCATAAAATTGATCAGCCTAGACAAGCCTCCCAGGTTTGTTATCTGAAAATCCAGGAAATATTGTTTAGCAAAGCCCGTTTTTGTACTTTTTCGATGCACGTATTTCGTACTTTTAAATATTCTTTAGAAAAGTTCAATCCCCTAAACAAAATGCAACATATGCGTACACCAAAAACTGAACAACGTCACGTTAGATAAGGATAACACAAATTTATATTTCCAGGAGAAGCATCACAATCCTGGCAATTTCCAAAACATATACATCTTTCAGGTTAGTTTATGTGAGCAAAATTTGTCTACACTGAATGAAGTGGATAGCGAAATTTTTAAAGCTATGAACTATGTATATTTCAAAATCTAAGCAAGTGACAATGTGTTTGAGTTTATTTTTATTTATTTTGTCACTTAACGAAGTTTCGATGTATGAAAAATTCTTTAAGTGTATATTTTAACCTTGCATGAATAAATTAAAATTTTCCTATGATACCTAATCTTCCAGCATTTTCATACATCAAAGTACCCTCCCACCAGCGAAAAAAAAATTTTAACGTATCGACGATGAAAGATTTTCAATTTGGTGAAAGCCTTCTCTTGTAATTGCGTTTTAACCCACTTTACCCTCCATGAACATGGAAACATTTGACCAATTTAAAACTTTTCAACAGATACAGACAGGCTAGACATTTACCCTAGTTTTGAAGCACCAATAAAATTTTTTTTGCTGGTCAGAGTAGCTACTTTAATTCCTCAAATAAATGCTAAGACTCCTTGCTCTATTGCAAATAGTCTTGATTTTTTTAACTAACACACCGGAACAGAGTATACTATACCTACAGAGTGATGCCAATAGGATGAACTAGATATTGCTTATGCGTTCTTTCTAAGCTGTTGTAAAATCATTACATGTGATCTATGAATGAATAATTGATTGCGTAACTACTTATGTAAATTCCAAACAATATAAGAGGTTGCACGAAGAACGTGAAAATCTTTGTTTATATTATTTGTTCATGTTAGAATCTAGACATGTTGGATGGACAAAGAGTATTGGAAGTCGAAGAACTCTATGAAGGTTACTGTCACATGAAAATTGCCATTTTATACTCGACGCCTATTTTGCTGAACGCCGTTCTTTAACTTTTTCAAACTTCTGTGCTTTTTTCTTTGCGTTTTTCAAACTTCTGTGCTTTTTTCTTTGCGTTTTTCAAATTTCTGTGCTTTTTTCTTTGCGTTTTTCAAATTTCTGTGCTTTTTTCTTTGCATTTTTCAAACTTCTTTGCTTTTTTCTTTGCGTTTTTCAAACTTCTTTGCTTTTTTCTTTGCGTTTTTCAAACTTCTGTGCTTTTTTCTTTGCCTTTTTCAAACTTCTTTGCCTTATAGATATTGAACATTCAACTGGAAAGTTTGGTCACAGTTCTGGCTTTTCTCTAAACGATGTCTTTTGGATTTGTTCCGACATGTTTTCCCTCAGGTTTGTGACTAACTCTCGGCATGAACGTTTTGGAGAAATTATAAAAAATTTCTACATCATCGCTGGCTCAAGTAAATTTGTTTAGTTTTTGATATAGCTACATACATAGCTACATACAAAGCTTGAGCAATCGTGAAACGAACGTGTGGGTCATGTGACTGGAGTATAAGTCATAATTATTTTTTAATAATTATTTTGCTTTCATTCTCTTAATGAAATAGTAAGGTTGATTTGAAAGAAATTCCAGTCTGCATTTGTCATGTTGGACTTGTGTACACCCATGCTTACGTACACCAGCATAAATACGACGAAGTTGGTTTATTTAATTCACAGACAACGTTAGTTACTGTAAAAAATATGCACCTTAATCATATGAATGAACTAACTGAAGTAGTCATTGTTTATGTAAATAGGTTCTCCCTCTTTATTTTACCTTACTTGTGCCTCGACAAAAAACAATCGACTGATGTATTTTTTCAGTCCGCAGAAGATCTCTACGAAACGTATTTTATTGTTTACCAACAATGACGACCCGCACAAAGATTACCCATCGTTACAGGTTTGATGCTTGTTATTTTTGTCTTATACATACTGTTCCGCCCTCTTCAGCTTTACTTGTTAGAGCACGGAATAATTTCTACGTTTGCCACATTTGTTGTACTCCATAACGTGGTTTGCTTTATTTGACAACTATGAATCGTAGACAACTATGTTTTATTACATGATGAAAATATAACCAACTTTTCATTAGCTTTGGGGAGCTATCATTATTGGGGGTTGCAGTAAACATTTTCCCAAACTCACAAAGAAGGCTCCGTCGTATTTTCGCTTAACGTTAAAGATTTATACAACTTTTTCAATCTTTGAACTGTTTTGGCTTTACCCCCTTCCACCGTCCCATTTGCCTATGCAACTTTTGAACGTGTTTATTACGTAAATTTGCAGTCCGTTCTGAAAAGCATAATCATAGGTTCATGCAACATGGTTCCTCTATGAGAACAAGAAAAGCAGACTGCGCATGTGCTAAGAATTGTTATTACGTTACGTAATATCTGAACAAACTTTAAAACCTTTATCCAACTTTTTTGTTTCAGAGGCAAGCGAAAACAAAAGCAAAGGTTTGTCGAGTTGTCTTTTGAGTCACAGTCATAATAATTATGCCCGAAGAAAAACCTTTTCCTGCAGAAGCGTTTTTTTTTGTATTTTGCGCATTTGCATTTTTTACACGTATTCAAACATTTCTACAGGACTTATTCAACGTTGGAATCGATATTGAGCTCATTCCAATCAAGCCTAGTGTCGGGGAATTCGACGCCAATCTTTTTTATGAGGTGAAATTATTGCTTAGTTCGATTAAAAGTTTTTATCGGTGTTTCTTTCAATTTACAACGACAAAATTGTTAATAATATAAATGAGACGAAATGAGATAAAAGAAATTTGTTATTGCAGGCATTCAAATCCCGATTTTTATGTAAACTAAGTTTTGGTAATGCATTCTAAACTAGCGAAGTTGAATCTCTAGCAGGGGCATTTATTTCATGATAAAGTGGGGTTTTTTAGTGGATACTTTCTATGTAATCTTTGCCATGCACTATGGATTGTTATGTGTGTGCTCCATCGGTCTGCGCATGTGAAGATAATTTTTCCTAATATTTTGTCGATTAGGCGAACTAAGTACATCGAAGTCAATGCTAGTAGATCCAGTTGGTAGTTGCCATGACGATGTAATACACATTATCTTATTATTTAAGGATATTGTTGCTGAAATTGACGAAGACGAAAAAGCGACAATGCCAGATCCTGCAGAGAAATTTGAAGAACTTTTGATGAGGTTTATGTCGTAGTTTTCTATGATTTTTATTTCATGCATGGTATACGCCTTACGTCAGTGAGTTTGAAGAAAATGGTGCTGTTGGAAGAAAACAATTTTATTTCGTTAGATGAACTTATACATAGGCTACTTTATCTCTCGTTTAGAACCCGAACGAAACAATATCGAAAGAGGCCAGTAGCAAGATTACCATGGAATCTTGGAGAGGGAATTAGTTTAGGTGTTTCTGTGTACGTATGTAACGTTTTATCTACATATGTTTGGGTACCCTGTGCAATTCAACACTTCCGTGTAATAAAGTCGTACTCACTTTTGGCTGTTACCTTTTCAGTAATGAATAATGCAATGCAAGACTTTATGTATGAGTAGTTTGTGGTAATAGTGAATATTGTTGCTGGTGAATTGTGCTGATTGATTCTCATTTCGGCATGATTTTTTCAACAATCCCATTTCCTTATCCAAATAAATGTCACGTGACGATATTCCACTCGCTATACAGTACTTAACATTAATTGACCAATCAAATACCCAGTACTGTTTAGCAGCGAAATTAACTACCTAGCAAAAAAATCTGTTGATTGACAAAATTTGAATCTGCGTATGAGTTCATCGCACACATGACACGAGTAGCTGTTTATATTTTTTAATAGTAATATATGTTTTGGTTTTGCTAAATACATCCGTATAAATTTGCTCTTCAATTACTGATTGCTATTTACATGTTTTTTGAAATGTTTCAGGTATAGTCTGTGTCGTACGGCTGTAAAAAGTTCACATGTCAATATTGACAGCAGGTCAAATGAAGAAGTTAAAACTGTATCCAAATTGATTTGCGAGGTAAATGCCTACGAAATCGTTTATGTTTTCATCTAAAATCAAGCGAGACTGTGTTCATACTGCTTTTCCTATTATATAAATGTTCAAGAGGCTCTAAATAAGTTTTCAACAGGATACGTACAAATGTGTTAATCGTGTTATTAAATATTGGGTTGGGGGAGGGTAGTCTCGTCTTCAATTCATAAGATTGCTAAGGAGATTCCAGGACATCCCTATTGGTATACTTTTAAATTTTGATCTCCAGAAATTTAATGCTAGGATCCCTACGTATATTTAATCCTACATGTTCACACAATGTTTAATGTGTCTGCTGGCACAGTAAAGTTATCTGATGTAGGTGTAACTTTAGGGATTTGGCCACGATTTTAAATCTTTAAAAATTATTTGGGGGAGGGGGCTCGGTGGTGGTGGTGGGGATTGTGCTACTTATTTCTTGCCTGTAATTGTTGGCTGGGTTTGAAAATGTTTGTTACAACACATTGCCTTAAGTTTTTGCAGTAGAGAGGAAAAGCAAGAATCGTGAAATCCTACCCCTTTGATTGTAGCAATGCTTTTATTGATTGTGTAATGTTTATTGCTGTATAAAGCAGTGTGATTATTTGCACCTCTCTTTTCCTTCCTCATTGCATACTATAAAAGGACGCTCAGTTTCGCAAGTCATTAACATGTTAAGCAATAGGTTCACGTTTTTGTGTTATTGTAGACGACCGGTGTGGAGCTCTTACCCTCGGATTTGAAATATTATCAAATGTTCGGTGGAAAGAAGGTAAGAAGCTTTCTCTAAATTTTGCGGCTGTCGGTGAACTGGAATCGAACCAAGGCCTTTCTTGGACTAGGAATGGACAGTAGGAAATAATTTTCAAGTGTTAAGAAGCTGTTTTTCAGACATTTATCTGAGGGGTGTTTTCCGTGCTACAGAACTAAATTTATCCGAGGGGGGGCTCGCTTGACGTAGCTGAAGCCATAAAATTATGAAAAATGACCCATTTCAAGGGTAGAAGGGGGGCGTCTCTCCCAAGCGCCCCCCCCACTTCTACAGCACTGGGTGTTTTCATCGCTCGCCATGAAGTTAAAAAATCCCACAAAATGAGAGGAATTATATGTACTTTGGTGTAACCTACCAACTTCACCGCTTTGACCTATGAAAACCCTCTATTCTCTTCACAAACTTTATTACCACATCATTCTTATTCATTTTTCCCTTGTAAATTTTAGATCGTGTTTGAGAAGGAAGAAGTTGATGCTATGAAGTCATTTGAAAATCGAGGTTAAGATAATTTACTCTAGTACAATTTTCGTTACTTGTTTATTTGATTACGTTTGATCTTCGTTTGACTAGTTTACGAAAATGCGCTGTTTTGCTTATGAGTAAAAGCCAGTGCCACAATTGTCCCTCAGCAAAAGCCAAATGGCCATGTAGCGATCGTTAAATGAAGTATTATAGTTATATACAAAATGTAGATCCAGGTTGATAGTCTGAAACTGTTTTGTTGTTGACTGACGTTCGACAACCTTAGAGGTAGTCATCTTTTGACTCTGAAGATGAATACCGCTAAGGTTGGCGAAACGTCAACAAAACTCAGACTCGATACTCCATTCAAACCATTTACTTTAAAAGTATTATAGTAACAAACTGCGCAACTCCATTTACATACTTTTGTCTCTCGTATTTCCTTTTCTTTGAAATAGGCTTAACGTTGTTGGGATTTAAGAAAAGAAGTTTGTTGAAGCATTATCATCACATACGACCATCACTGTTCATTTACCCTGACGAAAAGGCAAGCTTGTTAGAAAAATAATTGAGTTACGGGGGGAGGACAAAAAATCGTCCCCATGCATAGAAAATTATCGATTTTTTGAATCTTATTTATTTGTGTGATATTTTAAGACAACTGTATGTGTGTGTTTTGGATCATTGTGATGTTGTAAAGCCGTCAATGAAAGCTATTATATGCTTTCTTTAGTTAAGAATTTGTCCAGAATAAGCTAAATTAAAGCATTTTCTTTTCCATCAAGTCATCTATTGATGTTTTTAAGTAACCATATGCATGCCATTTTTTATAATTTTTTGTCCACTCCCTCTACCTAATTATTTCTTTGAATTTTTATAATCTGGTTTCTAGATTTTCGTATATTAGTCATAATTAAAGATCGTCCCAATTATAATTAAATATCAAAATAAGAAATATGACAACTAGGTTGACTAGCTCGAATTTTTTGTATGGCATGCAGTGCGTGTCGTCTCGCGTAGAAATAGTTTAAAGATACGCTTGATTGACACCAGAGTCGTAGCGAGGGTGCTCAGATAACTGGAGCGGGAGATGGTTGTTTCAGTTATGTATTTAATCGACGAAGTTAATTATTTAAAGACAATGCCCGTTTACGCTTTTCGGAAATCATAATTCTTAAGTTTATAAGACGGATATCACACGATAGTTCCAAATTAAATGGATGAAATGCTTTTCTTTATGGCAGAAGCATAAAAATTTGCGACTGCTTTTCAAAAAACAGATGATCATCTATCTTATAAAAATTTACCTTTACTTTTAAAAAGAGAAAGGTGTCAGTCTCCTTGCATTCCCAGCTCGGTACGTGTCTTGTTGAAACTGCGAAAAATTACAAGTTACAACAATCATTCGTTGAAAGGGACTTTAAGTAAATGAATTTTATGGAATCATATCTTTAAAAATCATGCCAAGACACGCTTATTGACTTTATGCTGTGAGTGGTAACATTCATTAGCCTGGTTTGCTGCATGGGATTAACTGAAACGTGAAAAGATTTTGACGCATTGAAAAAAGTTAAAGCCTCAGGCTTAAAGTTTTATTTAGCTCCAATAATTCCTGTTGTAGTTCTTGAATTGTGAAAATCATTATACATATGGTTGATGTAATTTTATGTTTATATGCATATTAAGTTCAAACAGAATAAACATATAAATTTTACAGTTGAGAAGTATCAGATTTTTTCAATTTGCCTATATTATATATATCATTTAACTCTTGGCTAAATCTCAGCTGTCCGGGCTCATATTGTCGGCCCTATATAATGGACTGTTTTTAATTACTGTCTTGAATTCCGTGCACGCAAAATTAAAGTTTGAAAAGAAAATAAATGCCGTCTCAGGCTTGGTCTACAAACTAGATGAGTCCTTCTTTGATGCATGTTCCGATAGCGTAAATGAACAATGGTGATACTTAAGAATTTACTTAGAGAGAGTAAGTCTGCAGGCTTTTTACCCTGCTGCTAGGTTTCTAATTTTGAGCATTTGCATTCTTAGTCTGTGACAGGCAGCAATTGTCTTTTTACTGCCTTATTAAAAAAGTGTTCTGCGAAAGACTTAGTCGCTATTTGTCGCTTTGTCCAACGACAAGCCGCATCTGTCAGATTGTGTGCTCTCTTACCTCAGGTAAGCCATGTTTTATTGTTGTCTTTGATGGTTTTATTGTTGTCATAATGGTTGTTTGTTGTCTTTGATAGTTTTGCTTTTGTCTTTAATCGTTTTATTATTGTTGTCTTTGATGGTTTTACTATTTAATTTAATACTTTCATGGTTTTGTTGTTGCCATTAATGTATTTTTTATTGGTTTTTTTTTTCTGAAATTAATTGCAAACTTATGTAATGTGACGATATTTGAAGTCACTTTGTGATGCATTTTTTTTAGGAGGAAGAAAAGAACGAGAAAAACTTGCAAATCACTCCACCGGGTTTTCATCTTATCTATCTTCCGTTTGCTGAAGATCTAAGGAAGTTGACGTACAAAGAGTTTCCACGAGGTTAATTATTTAAGGAAGTTTTTTACCGCTGCATTTAAAATAAATGTATTATTTTAAGACGTTTTTGTGAGTAAATCGATTGTTTATAACTTGTACTGACAGGCTCAAACAACTGAACTAAACGCCATAAAGTTTGAAGGACAATTTCACCAAGTTTTTATCATAAATATTTGAAGTAGCGTTGAAAGCAACATCCAAGCAACTATTGTTTTGCAATTTTAAATTGCGAATTGCAAGCAATTTATTTGCAGGAAATGAAGTGGCATCGCTAAAAGCTTATTGGTTCATTTAAGATGAAGCATTTTATGCTTTTCATCCCTTAAAACATGATTTTATGAAAGAACAACCTAATCGGTTACGTGATACAATATAATCATCTTTTATATAGTGAAAGATGAGCAAGTGGAAAAAGCTAAAGAAATTGTGAAGGCTCTCACCGTAAACTTTGATCCTATGGCGATAGAAAATCCTTGTACGTATATATTTCAATGCTCCAGTATTTTCCTGAAATAGTATTTGAAAACAATTATAAAGTCTTCATAACTCAAACTGAACCGTCTGAAGTCTAGCTATAAAGAAAAAATGACAAAATTACGCCTGTGTTTTAAATCTCACTCATACTAAATGAGTATAAATGGCTTCAAAATCACCTAAAAAAATATTGAAAATGTCATTTTTCCATCCACTGATTGTTTGTTTCAATTATTTTTTTTCTCAAAAATGAGTTTCCCATTGATTAGAGGGAGCGAGCGAGCGATCTGGGTGTTGTACTCATTGAGTGTTGATATGAGTGAGCTGTTAAAGAATTTCGTTAGTAAAATATAAGTTTTCTTAATGACACCCTGGTGGGAATTCCATTTGTTCACAAGTTTTCCTGAAAAGCTTGCCCATAAAGTTATTTGTTGAAATAAGTTCTTAAAAACTATTGTGATTTTCGTTGTTTTGTGTATTAGTGATTTCAAATACATTCCACCGATAAATAACAATGTTAAATTTTATTATAAATGGAAAGGGTAATTTTCAATATACGTTAAACTCGACCCAACCCCCACTCTCACCTAACCTATAAATGAATTTAGTTATGGCAGAAATACTGCAACCTAATGTATTTCACAGAAAACGTATTTTCAGAGGCGTAGCTAGAACATTAATTATATTACGTTAAAAATATATTCCGTTGTGCCTTACTGATTTCTTATGAAAGTGAATTGAATTTCAAAAGAAATCAGTAGGGCTCAACTGAATATATGAATATGCACCCCACCCCACCCTAATTAACGTTCTAGCTGCGCCTCTGCGCATTTTTGCAGTATTTTTTTCTGATGCGATCAATTTGCCGAGTTTTTTTACAGCATTGCAGAAACATTATCGTAGTCTAGAAGCTTTGGCGTTGGATAAAGAAACCGCTGAAGAATTCAAAGATTGTTCAGGTTACTGTCTGAAGTGGTGTTAAAACGGGAAAAATATTTCATGCCATTTTTCTCAAGATGTTTTGTTCATTGACTGTTTAGAACCCGATAAAACACAGATGGACGCTAGACTTGGTAATCTGGCTACAGAATTTAAAGATCTTGTCTTTCCTGACGGTTATAACCCTGATGGCAATACCTCTAAAACAAAGGTAAAGCTTTTTCAAATGAAAGTTAAGACGTTTTGGTAATGGCTTATATGATTCATGTTTACATTATATGTGTTGGGTTATTAAAGCATCATACTTGAATTTAAATGCTTATTCCATCAATATGGTGATGATTTAAAAAGAACTCATTTAAAAGCATTCATTCGGGCGAAACTGAATATATGACGCAAAACTGAATGTAACATACCCCATGACTCGCTCACTTAACGTTATAGTTACGATACTGCCCTGGCTAGCGGTGCAAAGTCTTTACTGAAAAAGTAAACTCTCATTTTAAAAGCACTCTTGTTCGATGTATTGTCGTTTGCACTTCAGGCAACTAGTGCGTCCAGTTCATCTGCAAAACGAGCAAAGAATGAGGAAGCAGTCGATGTTAAAGAGTTGGCAAGAACAGGAAAGGTTTGTCTAATGAACAAGGTTTGCATAGATTGTACAGTTCGAAGCCACGCAGTAAAATGATTGTTTACTAGATGCTTAGCTACCGTGTTGAAGGTGAGGGTCGGGGTTAGGTTTAGGTTTACGGTTAAGGGGGTTAGGTCATCTTGACTGATGGCATAAAGAAAAACAGAGGAAGCAAATATTGTAATTACCATCAGTTTTACCACATTTCAAGATGTCGGCTTGCCTCACTTACAACAATAAAATTTTTGTGGAGTCTTATTGTAAAACTGCTAACATGATCATTAAAGTAGACTGTTGTCAATAGAAACATAAGCACTAGGTTTGGCATGCCAATGTGATTTGTCGCTGACGGATTTTCGTATTTTTTACAGGGGTGATGCTAAAAATTTAGGGGGGTGAGCTGATAAGAAAATGACGTAGGACAATGACGTCTACATTTTAGTGGCGGTCCGGTAGTGTAACCACCAAAGGTTGTGTTGAAAGTTGAAACATTGCCCAGAAAAACACGAAGGGATAAAAATGTTTCGCAGAGTGGTGCATGGACAGTTTGTTTAAGGGTTGACGAAATCTGATCTTTGGGGTGTGGCACTCCTGCTTCCCCTGAAAGTCCGTCTATTGGCTTTGATAAGTTTTTTTTGATGTCTTGATTATTTGAAACAATTGAGCCCAATTCTTCCATTACATCAATGTAATAAACTTAAGCAATCATTTTTGTTTCGTCCATAGTTGCAAAAACTCACTGTTCCTGTCCTGAAAGACTTTGTAAAATGCAACAACATCAAATGTCGTGGAAGTAAGAAATGTGATCTTGTAGAAGCTGTAAATGATCATTTCTCGAATATGTAAGAACGTCATGTTATCACATGTATTCACAATCCATATTGGTATCAATTTGGCAGCGTGATTTGTATTCTTTGGTTTTGAAGTCCTGTGCTGCATGCTTTTTATCGTTGTCGACCTTCGTTGTGTTTTCCTACAAATCAACATGTTCTTTACTGCCCGCCAGGTCAGAAACCGATGGAGTATTTCGTTTGGTTCGTTCAACCACTGCATCAGCCGCATTCGTTGAAATATCACTAATTAAGTCGTTAAAGACCAAAGTTAGGATTATTTTTTACCGGAAAGGAAATCTTATCTTTGAAAAATCGAAGAAAAATGTGTAATGTAATCCATTTTTAACATTTTTCGAGTGAATAAAACTGATCCTGATAACTTGGATAATCATTTCAGGTCTAGATTTGAACGACGAGACAATTATAGGGTGCATTAAATAACTTTTCACCTACCTCATATAACGTTAAAAAAACTAATCTTATTTCATCATTACTTGTTAATGTACATTGCCATATAACTTAGATCATTGATAAATGTCATGGACATCAAATGCCCCAAAATGAAACTTTTGCTACTTGGCCTTGGCTACACGGCTAGAACGTTAATTGGGGTGGGGTAGTGTGCTGACTATTCATATATTTAGAAGTGTCCGACCGGTTTTTTTGAAGCTAATTCACTTTTAAAAGAACTCCGTCGGACAAAACTGCGTTTATTAATATACACCATATAATTGACGTTCTAGCTAAGGCCATGATTCCTAACCTTATCATTCAATGAAGGAATGTGGTGAAGCGGAGTTGTGATGTTCCTGACATTAGCGTCCAGACTCTAGCGTCCAGAATCACCGTTATTGCGGGTTTGACTTTAAACAAGCATTGTCCAATTTTCGGCCAGCCAATTACGATCCTCACATTTCAGACTTCTCGAAGCGGACAGGTTTTTTCAAGCAAAGGCAATCTACACACCTTTTTACAAGCTGAAGCAAACTGTAAGGTGCCGTAATTTCCGTTTCTCGGTAACTTCCGGAATGGTTGAAGTTTAGCCATCGAATTTTGCACATTCATAAAAATTAAAAGTATTGTGATGAACATAGTGTGAACATGAATAATATGAGCTAATTTGCAACATTGGTAAATGTATAAACGTGGTACATAATGTCAATGTGAAATGTAAAAGTGTATTAAGATTTCTTGGCTAAGGTGTGTTTTGAAATGGCTCGAGCGCGCTTTTTACCATGTCACGTGTAGCAATTGGTGAATGTCGTTGATTTATTCGAAATATGTACTCCACTATGCTTCGATGTTCAGCGTCTTACATCAAGAATATGTGTTATATGTCCAATATTGTTTATAATATAAATAAACACGGTATGTTTATGAGCTCATTATCATCGAGTACAAAGGATTCGTTGCCACAAACAGTCAAAACAATAGAAAGTTATTTGAAGCAGAAAGACATAGAATACCAACATGGTCATACAACTATTATAGCAAAATGTCCCTTTTGTGTAACTACAAACAGTGCGACATCAAGGAAGCAAGGTGGAAAGGAATCTTACAGCTTGTTTGTAAACAAAACAACTGGTTCTAATGTGTGCAATACATGTGGTGTATCGGGAACATGGAGTCAACTTAAGGTATTTCTTACTTTACTGTTGTGTTATGTGCAAGATGTGTATGACACATTGTGCATGGTACAAATTGGAAATTTTATAAACCTGTGACCAAAATTTGAAATTGGTTTTAATAGGCACCCCTTGTAAGGTGTGCCATGTACAAAGTTTCCAGTCTGGGCCAATGAAAAATAATTTTTACCTCCCTCAGCAGATTGCTACAATTCCCTGAGAACAGGCAGCTATAAATATCTTACAACATTTGGGTGCAATTTCAACATGACTCGTTTGGGGGATAATGAAATGATAAAATGGCATGGTTATAATCAGGCTTGATTTGTTAAAGACCGGTGTCAATATTTTTTCAAAATTTTTAGATGTGTTTATAAATTCTTTATTTGTGACTACATTGTTAAGAAACACAATTATGTATTTCTTTACAAGTATAGAAATCTTCCACAATTTCACTATTTTCTTGTAAATTTGTATTTCTTATAAATTGCTCCTTTTAAATGGTTATTAACTTTAGTCTTAAGTACTTTTATTTAAATTTGTATTTGCAAAAGTATTTTGAAGGCTCATAAGCTGGTCTGCTTGACTGCAAGTTTTTATTTACACTCTATCAATTTAAGTTATACACAGGTAATAATATACAACCAACCATAGACAACCAACCAGGCTAGTTTGAAAGTAGTCTCTTGTTTATTTCATGTGTTTATCATGCTTACCATGATAAGTTGTATGCATGAAGTGCTCCACCTGCACAAGTTTGAGAATTCACAAAATGGCCACTGAAATGAAAACATATGAACATATGTATGTGTTGTAGATGTAGATTGTCCAGGTTAGTATAGTCCTGAGAAGGACTGTTTTTGTTGTTGTTGACTGACGTTTTGACAACCTTAGAGGTAGTCATCTTCAGAGTCAAATGAGGAGTAAACATCAGGTTAGCCATACGTGTTATCTGGTTCTTACGTCATTGTATTGTGTGTACAATAAATGGGTCGGTGCAATTGTGTACTGTCATTTTGAATTAGTGTGAAGTGTGATGTTTGTAGTTGTAATGTGAAGGTGTCAATTTTGTATTGTCATTGTGAATTAGTGTGAAGTGTAATGTTTTTAGTTGATTGTTTGTTTGTATTGTGAATAAGTCGTTTGTAAGTTGCCGGTAATTGCTGTGATCTGTTCAGGGGGGTTTGTTCCAAGTTGGTATGTAATGATACTCCCAGGCTCAAACCATTTACTTTAACATATTTATGGTTAATCTGTTCATATATCATATTCAAAGTTTCTTGCTTCTAGTTGTGGATAAGTGAGAAAAAGCATCCTTTGAATGAAGAAAAGAGTGAAATAACAGCAAGTAATGATAACCCAGGAACCCTTGAGAAAGTTGTACATCTTTGGAAAAATACAAAACCTTTTGATGAATGTACAGACTCGTTAAGAAAATATATTTTGAGAAAAATTGAAATACAGGTAGACTTGATTTTCTTCTGAAATGACGGCCAGGTGTTTAAATTGCCATCTCAACATTGCAAAAAGCTACCATTTAAAGCTGGAAAATTAAAACTTACCTTGCTCAAATTTGAAATAGTGTATTCTCATAGTTAGGAAAAAAAATTGGACAGAACTGAAAAAACTAGCTTGCTATGCTATTTTAAATTCGTCTGTGTACAAAGTTTGATGTTATTAATTTTGTGTAACATGTGGTATGTGATTATGTGAAATGCCCTTTGCTTTTTTTATCATCCTGAAAACTAGAAAGAATAACGATCTTAATTACTGATGAAATTTCATTAAAGTTGAGTATGTTTTCTATTTTAGTCATTGTCATCTGAAACCATGAAGCTGTACAAGGTTCACACCATACTGAACAAGGTACTTCGCCATCACTCCCACCATTCCCCCTTGCCTAAAGGCATTGACTTTTATTAAGTGCTTTAATCGCGTTTACTTTACTTTCTAACAGTGTTTATGACGTAAAGTTTAAGAGCTAAGAACCAATAAGCCCTCATGATTTTGAGGAAAATATTGTATGAAGCTCGACTCAAATGTTCTTTTTTGTGTTAGTTTTCGTCTCCGGATGGCTCTCAAAAGCAGCAACTATGTCTTGCGTTTCCATGGTTTAATTACGAGAGAGATAAGTTGTGCGGGATAAAGCTTTTTAAGGTGCGAACGAAAGAGGAAGATGTTGCACTGGAACCAAGGTAAAATGTCTGCTTAAAATTTGTAACATACATGATTAGGCAGCTTTTGTTAAATATATTTCCGTTAAAATATTATACAACGAGTCATTCGGACTATTCCAAATAATTCTTTAATATGCTAACACCAAAATTGAAGAGAACAGTAGAAAGTAACTGTTGAAATGTTTTTCCTTGATTATACTTCAAATCACTTTACATCGCAGACATGGTTTACCCAGCGTGTTTGGATGGCATACTGTACCGACGAACGCCAGAGAGATTGTTCTTACGGCAGATGAGTTTGACGCAATGGCTGTATTTCAGGCAACGTCATCTCCTGCCATTTCGCTTCCATTAGGACTTTCATCATTGCCTCCCGAAGTGAGTTATGAGTAATACTTGACTCAGTTGGGCTTAGGACTACACATGGAATAATTGCTCTGCTTTAAAAACTGTAGTGACGCTTTAAAAACTGTAGTGACGCTTTAAGAACTGTAGTGACGCTTTAAAAACTGTAGTGACGCTTTAAAAACTGTAGTGACGCTTTAAAAACTGTAGTGACGCTTTAAAAACTGTAGTGACGCTTTAAGAACTGTAGTGACGCTTTAAAACTTGGTGACTTTAAAACTGTAGTGACGCTTTAAAAACTGTAGTGACGCTTTAAAAACTGTAGTGACGCTTTAAAAACTGTAGCGACGCTTTAAAAACTGTAGCGACGCTTTAAAAACTGTAGTGACGCTTTAAAAACTGTAGTGACGATTAATGACGGTAAATTAAGTTATTCAAGATCGATGGCTTACTTGATTTCCATCTGATTCATGCTTTATTCAAATGTTAATTTGAGTGTAGGTGGAATCCATTCTTGAAACGAGCTATCATATTTTCTTGTTCTTAGTTTGCGGATTTGTCAAAATTGATCTAATCTCTTCACTGCATATCACAGAACAGTGATATGCAATGAAGTTAAAAAGCGTGATCCGTTTTCCACAGTCGTTTTGGGATTGGCTTAGTTTTAAATTTTATGTGTACTTTTTATCAAAAAAAACACGATACCATTTTATGAAAAAGGTGTTTTTCTTGGTCTGAAGAATTTACAAAAAATATTGTAGGTGCTTCCACACCTTGAGCAATTCGAAAAAATCATTTTATGGTTTCGAAATGACGTCAGATCAAGACAGGCTGCGAACAGTTTCGCACGAAAACTAAATATTCAACGATGCCATTTTGTGAGGTACACTTATATTCACTGTTATTAGTGATCGACATATTTACAGTTGTATACTTTCCTCTCTCCATTTCATGATTCTCTTGAATCGTGAATTGCTACGTATGCTATTAAACGTAGAGTTCTCAATTTTAGAACGGATAACAATGGACCAGTCAGCGCTCTGGATGCTTTAAATAAAGTTTGTTGTATAATTTTTTCTGAATGCGGTGAATGGTGCGACCCAGCAGTTGAGGATCCAGATTTATGCTGAATATGTTATAGCTACGTAGACGCTATTTAAAACCAATGTTGTTGGTTTTTAAATTCCAAAGAGTAGATTTTCCCCTTTGATGAGCTTTTTTAATGTATTTTAGTTTACCTTAGGCTGGATCCTTCACTGCCCATTACTCGAACCCATTTTTCATTAATTTTACTGCTTTGAAACCTTTGCTTAAGATTAACTTGAGTATTTTTCATTTCATTTACCATGTACATTTATTCCCTAGGGCTGTGATCTGAAGTCAATTCTCTCCAAATCTCAAGCAGCCAGTCATGAGAAAATCGTCACATTTCAACAGGTAGCTACGTACTTCCTCTTCATCAACAGAATACAATTACATTTTCATGTCACACTGTATATTGTCCAATGAATGCCCCTCTTAAATAAACGCCCCCGTTGAAGCATAAGTTTGTAGTAGGGGCTACTCTCCTTATAAACGCCCTTCTCTAAGAGACGTTTCCTCCACTTTGCCACATTATTATAACATCATTGTTATTGAAGATTGTGGATTGGGCTTATAAAATGTGTATTTAGTTGTCGTTTTGTTTACATTTTTACACTTAAGTGATAGACACACTAATAAAAATGAAATACAATCCTTTTTATTAAACGCCCGTATCTATACAATCACCTCCCCATCCCCCCTTAAAATTGTTGGATTTTTTTAACTCTTGGGCGTTTGTTAGGTCATTTGCGGCGTCTGGGACTAGCTTTTCAGTGACCTTGGAAGAATCCATGTTTCAAGTTGTAGCAAATCAACCTTTGTCGGTTTATACTTCAGCCACGTATATAGGTCCATGTGTTTTTAATTAGGGCATTCAATGAAGCAATTTGAGTAGATCAGTTTTCTGGTTCATTTTAAGCCGGACTGTTTTTAAACTGCAAGTTTTTTACTGACACTGTTTTCCCCTGAAACTTTTTATTTTTGCATAAAAGATTTTTAGCCTCCCTGGAATGATATCAAAATTCCCATGAGTTTTTTTCCATTTCTTTCCGATGTTTGAGCCTCTTTGAGGAATTGTAATTTTGTAATTCCAATTACAGATGGATCGTTTCCTAAGTAAGGCCGTTGTTTTGTTGATAATCTGATTTCCTTATCAAGTATTGTTTATATTCTAAACGAGATGAAAGTACCGACTTGAGTTTTGTTTACATTACAGCTTCGTGATGACGTGTACAATGAGTTACGTAACGCTGATCAAGTTGCAGGAGTAAAGGTCAGCGGTTGCCCTGTTTCAATTTTTGATAAGGTCACGAATGTAGGTTTGTTAGGAAATATGGCGCTACAATAATTCCTTGATTTGAGATTCTCGTATGACTGTTCCATGCTGCAAAGCTATCCTTTTATGAATACTCCATATGTCTATCGACATGTTTTTGAATACATCTTTATTAATCTTCTCTTTCTCTATTCTTTTCGCGTTAACGTATTGCTAAGCGTTTAATCGGATAAGTAGAAAATTCCAAGTATAAATTGCTTGTGTTAACAATGTTTTAGCCATTGTATTTTTTACGCCCCCCTGTTCCTTATGACTATTGTTATGAGGAACAGGGGGTGTGAACTGTTAACTATTGTTTTTAATTTTCCATGTTGCAGTGGTCTCGATATCCAAAACTCTCCCAGATTTTAAAAGGTCACCGTCGTGGTGAACTCACCGTGTTTACTGGAGGGACTGGAACTGGTAAAACGACATTGCTCAGTGAACTTTCTTTGGATCTTTGCATTCAAGGGGTGAGAAATGTTTAATTTATGTCCTATTTTGTGCAAACTTTGCAGTATTGTGATGAGTGGGGAACATTCAAACAAGTGAAACATAGTGTAGTGCACAATTTTGCACGGGCGCGGTGAATGCAATTTATGTTCAGTTTTAGTTATTCTTTTTAAAAATTCATTAGACATATTGCCAAAATCAAAATTTTGAGAGATCGTTTTCTCTATTGTAAATTTGTAATATTTGAATGTTTTTTTTCTGTGAAGGATTATTCTTTGGAATACTCGATTTATTCTCGATAATAAGATGTGATAAAATAAGCCAGTTATTACGAAAACAGTGTGAGCTCTTCCATTGCCATGATTTCGAACTCGAACAGTTAATCAAGCAGACTGCATGTTCGCAGATAATTTCTCAAATGAATTTTCAAAACGAACTATTTACTGAAAAATTAGTGCTACTAGGTCTTAACCGTTATTACCTTAATAACGTTGAACTCGGCAATCCACCTTTCCGAAGGTAAACACACGTGTCAAAAATACGAGATCAATCAAATGGTCGGACATAGTATTGTATATGTAGAATAGTGGCATAAAAATGGAAAGAAGATGCTCTTGGGGCATTTGCAAATCTTATTTTAGAAATCCAGAACGACTAATTATAAAGGCAGAAGGTGTAAGAGTAAATAAAAGCCATTTTCCGTTAATTGAAAGGAAAGCTTGGATATGACATGCAATGTGCAGATCTAACGTTGTTACAGATATTAGGAGTGCCGTAACAAATTGTTGATGAGTGTGATATGCATTTGTTAAATCAAGCTTAACAAGACAAAGAGCATGCCAAAAATATATGATTAAAAACTTGCTCAGCGCATCTACAAGCACTATTTTCAAATTAATTAAGAATTAAAATGAGGTTATATAGTTAACTCCACCAACTCTCCAAGTTCATGGTCACGGCAACGACCCACTGGATGTACTAGTAACGATTATGGCGTAAATAGCTCGCTCAGTCACAAATTTTCTAATACATCAACTGAGCATGCCCAGTATGTTTGAGCATGCGCAGTAATCAACTTAACCAGCTGCCCAAGTTGATGGTCATGGTAACGACCAACTGCTTCTACTAACAACAATTTTGAAATAAATAGAATGCTTAGTAACAATTTAATAAAAGAATCATCTGCGCAAGCGCTAGAGCATGCGCAATCTACTTAAACAATTGTTGATAGTCATGGCAACTACTAACTAGATGCACTTGCATAACTTTCGTGGCAATTAGCTGACTTAGTTGCAAATTATCAAAGAAATCATCTGAGCATACGTGGTAATGAAGTCAATCACACCACAACTTTCGTAAGCCTTTGAATTTATGTATATATTTTCCAAATGATTACTTCATATAGTAGATGTCAACCTGCAGTGGAAGCCTGGGTGCGATTAGGTATGAAGTGGCTCAGGGGCCCAGACTTCGGTCGCGACCTCACTCTCCCTGCGTACCCCATGAAAAGCCTATTGCAGGTGATCTTGGGATCTGATGGGCGGAAGCTTGCTATTGACATCCCCAAGTAGAATAGCGTGGAGGGGCCGAAATCTCCTACCGAAACGTTAACAAACGTTGAGACGTTCTAGTGCCCTTACGCTTATGAAAGTATCGGGAAGCATGGACCTAAAACGGGGTTTTTTGCTTTCGAATTTCGTCTTTTATCGTTACAAGAATTCTTCTCATAAAAGAAACTACAACATGCAACGATACTGCAAAGGCTCAAGCAACTTCTGCCTTTTTAACTTATAATTTAAACCATCTTTAAACATGTTTGTACGTTTTTTTACTTGTTACCTTTTTGCAATGTAACTTTTACAATGTAACTCATAACTCTCTCGTGATGAACAAGATCCTCCTTTTAGAATATAATCATGAACGAAAGCATCCATGGGCGTCGTGATAATAAGGGATTATCTAAAGTAAATAGTTTGAACCCGGGAGTATCGTTACATGTTTGTAAATGTAGATCGTCCAGGTTGGTATAGTCCTGAGAAGGACTGTTTTTGTTGTTGTTGACTGACGTTTCGACAACCTTAGCGGTAGTCATCTTATGACTACTTTTTTGACTCTGAAGATGACTACCGCTAAGGTTGTTGAAACGTCAGTCAACAACAACAAAACAGTCCTTCTCAGGACTACTAACCTGGACGATCTACAAACATGTAAGGATTATCTACTTTTAAAGTAGTTTTACGAAGGTAACATTTAATAAGCTAAGCCATTTTATCGTCTAAATTGAATCCTTATGTCATAAACTTTTAATTCATTTTGGATAGTAAATTTCTTTTTACCTTACAATATTTTCATGATTAAATCTAGGAATTAACTTCACTTCTCGAATTATTTTGCGATTAAACAGTACACTAATCGGATTCAAAGGACTTTTTTTGATCGCATAGAGACAGCCGTCTATTTTATTACGTACATGCATGTAGTATGAATTTCATTGCAAGAAACCCCCCTACCAAAGAATATCCAGATCCGATTTTGGCTACATCTAAGTCAGGCTGTAAAGACCCGTAACAATCCTTAGTGCGACAACATGCCAGTCATTAGTGCGACAACATGCCAGTTTTCAAGCTTTCCTTTGATCGTTATGCTTTTTTCTAACGCGAAATAGTTCATATTTATGCTATGGCTTTTTTCAAAATTCACAATTGCCCCAAAACTCAAAAGCATCTATAATGCCACTGTTCCACATAAGCAATACTATGTTCGACCATTTGATTGTCCGAATTTTGTAATTTGATCTCTTATTTTTCACACGTATGGCTACCGACAGAAAAGTGGATTGGTCCAGTGAACCGCACATGCTCATACGATTTCATAATAGCTTAAGACTGAACCAGCGAGTTACTTGGTGTAAGTAGATGTAATTTGTTGTTGTCACGACTATAGATGATTTTTTAATGGTTTATGACCCAGCGAGTTAGTCACTCCCAGCTAGAGCACTGCAATAAGATCCAGTTACTTGGTATGAACTCCACTAATTGGACGAGTGACTGCGCAGGTTTTCAGTCACATGGCATGTTGTTGTACCTCGATAACCATTATCGTCCTGGCTTGCTTCCACAATACGTATAAAAGCAAAGTAGACAATACGCAACTCTAGACATTGCACTGTGGAGTAAAAGAAAATTGTTTACATGTAAACCGTGTACAACTATTTAAATAAGCTATAGCTGGTGAGGTTTATTAAAAATATTTTCATTTACCATAAATTCAATAGACGTTCATCTCATGATGCGTAAGTATAATTAAATGGTTAAATGGGGGTCAACGAAGAAATGAAATGAATGTATTAAACATTTCATGTTTGATTCAAATTAAAAGTCAAAAGGCAACGTTTTTATTTCGAAACATTGCACTATCCTTGGATCCCTATAGTTAATACTGAGTAGACTTATAGTTAATACTGAATAGAATAACAGTCGTTCTCAGGACTCTACTAACCTGGACGATCTACATTTACAAACATGTAACGATACTCCCGGGTTCAAACCATTTACTTTATTACTGAATAGACTATCGGTTCATTCGTTGTCAACCGTTTTGCAAAAAGTGCGTCCTCTGGTGCCTTTCCTCATCTGAATTCCTATTTACTGTGATGTGGTTTAATTGAGTTATTTTTGGACTTTGATATAAAATGTAGAGCTTCCATGTTTGTAGCTACCTGTGGCTTTTAAATCCTCCACCTTCGTCACTGGCTTTGTATTTAATTTATTGACTTTGACGAGTTTTTTTTTGTTCAGGTAAACACATTATGGGGAAGTTTTGAAGTACGTAATGTAAGATTGGCAAAGGCAATGCTGAGTCAGTTTTCAGGGTAAGATGCTTTCACGGTTAAACCATTTTGACAACTTTGTTTTATCAGTGGAGAATCCAAATAAAAATGCCACTGCGTACCTCTCCTGACTGCAAAGGTTTGCTGTATTGCGCTTCTTTTAGTGTGATAGGCAGCTATGTATGCTTAATATTACAATACATGCATGATGAAAACGAGATTGCGCTGTAAAGAGCGAAAAATGAAGTTTCAATTGCTTGATTATGTGTCTCATAAATCTCTCAAATGGTTAATTCTATTTCGTTTTATTTTCTGGTTCACGCATGACCAGTAGTGTAGCCAGCCTCACTTTTTACTCCCGCTTCAAAAATATTTTTGTGTTCACTGACCTTAAGAACAATAGATTTCTAAAGAAATGAAAAATGGTAATCTTTCGCCATTTAAACAGCGGAAGTAAAATCTGCAGGCTGGCTACGCTACTGCGCATGACGCATGATATCTGATGTCTTTAATCATAAGAACATATGTAAAAATAATCCACTCTGCGAACTATACGAAAATGTCTTTTGTTTCACAGCTTGAATCTTGAGAAGAATTTACTTCAGTATAACTACTGGGCAGAGAAATTTGATATGCTTCCAATGTATTTTATGAGCTTTTATGGCGCACAAAATTTACAAGATGTTATTGAGGTATTGGCATTGTTGTTAGTACTATTTAAAGTTATATTGAAGTTTTTGCAACGTTATTAGTCAATACTCTAAATTGCTTTTTTTGCTACTTTGTGGCTAACGAAGGTAAGCCCGAGTTTCAAAGTCTGATTTTCCTGTACTGTCGCGAAATCAAACAAATTATTCTTGAACCAATCAAACTCTTTATTGATCGTTTCACCCGCGATTATCACTAATAACAGGTTTGATGAAACACGAATTACTTACATAATATAATGCAACATGTGAGATTGCATATTGCCGAAAAATTTCGTTGTGCTATTTGGGAACTATTATATTGCGCAAATAAAACCAAAAACTGTTCTTTCGTCCAATTAAGTGATAATCAGGAATATAGTATATTGAATTATACAAAAACCGTGCTCTGAATGCAAAAGGATTTAGTGATTTATTTAATGATTAATGATAATTTAAAACTTGTTGAAACATTGACAAACCAAAAAATAAGTTATTTCAATATTCGAAATCACCGATGTTTTTTGTTTTAAACGAGCCATGATCTGAATGTTGATATTGATATGTTTATTTATATAGAGATTTTGATTTCTAAAATCTGATATGTGAATTTTTAAAAATGATTTCAGACAATGTCTCATGCAGCTTACGTGTATGACATAGAACATGTTATAGTGGATAATCTTCAGTTTATGATATCAAATGCTTACAGGTTTGTTCATTTCTGTGGTTGTGGGAGTAATTGATGAGAATATGTTATTTTTGTGTTGGATAAATACAGTAACTACACTGAAAGGACTATTTATAAGGACATTATTTTGAAATTCAACAACACCTTAACTAAGTACTTATATGTTTGTAGATTTAGATCGTCCAACTCTTTTGACTCTGAAAATGACTACCGCTAAGGTTGTCGAAACGTCAGTCAACAACAACAACAGTCCTTCTCAGGACCAACTAACCTGTACGATGTACATCTACATACATGTAATGATACTCACGAGCTCAAACCATTTTCTTTATAAAGTACTTATGATGCACTAATTTTATGTTCAGTCCAGATCGCTTTCACGCGCAAAATGTAGCAATAGCTGAGTTTCGAAAGTTTGCAACATCCAAGAATGTTCACGTGACGATTGTTATTCATCCAAGGAAGGTAATATCATCGCTTATTATTGTAATAAATACCCTCCCCCTTCACTATATATTTAGGTTGCCACTATTTTTATGATACCTTATGCAACAATGTTGATGATTTTTCCATTATCTCTTAATGAATATATACACTCGAAAGTCCGTGTTTGTATAGGAAAGTGACGATGCAGAGCTACAAACAGCCTCAATTTTTGGTTCTGCAAAAGCTAGTCAAGAGGCAGACAATGTCGTTATTTTGCAGGATAAAAAGGGGAAGAACGGTGGAAAGTATTTGCAGGTATTGTACGCAACTTTTTGGATAAGTAAAAACTATCGTTCCTTACGTTAAGAAATTTTCATTGAGAGTGTTGACGAATTTCGTTTAACATGCGAATCTTGTTAGCAGTTCTTACGCGACGTAAAAGGTTGAAGTCGTTGATAAGGGCTGTTTTTGGTAGCTACGGAAGAATTTCGTCCTGTGAAAAAGCATTTTATTCCTTAGTTTAGATAAATCAAGCTGGTAATTACACCTTTTGCTTTTACGGTTTTTGTTTTTGTATGTTTTTACGCTGTAAAATAGCTCATTTCCTATTTAGTGAGAGTATTACATGACGATAGTTTTTTTAAATGAGTGTTTATAGTTAACGCTGATAATTTGTGGTATCCAAAAAACCACGAGGATTAATACTTTGACTTTTTGAAAGAAACATGCACGCACATCCGACATTTTGTTTTGATGGCACTTTAATCATCTCAAGCAACCACCAAGGAACGGCCACAATACCAGCTAAATAATTCTCAATCTTGAAGTAAAAAGCCCAAAATAACAAGTTTTTAGAAGCTACATAAAAAAATAATTCGGGAAAATGGCGCATGATAGCTAAGAATATTAAAATGAACAACAACGCAAACTATACTTATAACGCGAATGCGCTAACACTCTTGTTTCTATGGTGTTGCCAGAGTTTGTAATTTGGTGACTGACCCATCTATGGAGTTTTTCGACACTTTGTTGTGTACTTCTTAATTATTTTGTGTCGTTATTTTAAATTTAGGTGACTAAGAATCGTTTTGATGGAACGCTCGGTAAAGTTTTCTTAGATTTTGACCCCGATTCACTTACTATGTCGTCTTATCAGAACAAGAATTCTTCACTTGTGCCTTCAAGAAAAGAAAATAAATTTTTAAGAAGTGTGAAACCTTCAAAAACCTATTTTGGCGGGAAACGAGGTGGACAAACCAAAGATGATAACGAAAGCTTCAAAATTTCAAGTGAGATAGAGCCTGGCAAAGAAAATTCAACACACCAATATATTCATGAAGTCGGTGAGTCCAAAACATTCTCAGTTGAGGAGAGATTAAAGGATTCAAAAAACGAAAATCAAAAGTTCAAAGCCTTGCAAATCACAGTAAATGACAAAAACACCACTACAAAATCACAGAACAAGATGGCGTTACCAAAAAATCGTTCAAGCGGTTCAAGTTTAAAAGAACCATACGCTACAGAAAGAAGCGATAAAGCTAAATATGAAATTAAAAATGGTGTGACTTTTCAGTCAAATTCTGAAAACAAAAACGATGATACAAATAGGAAGAATTTACATGAAAATTCAGTTCTCACGGCAAAGTCATTGGTAAAAGTTGAAAGAAACGACAATCCAAATGGGACAACTTTAAAATCAAAAGCCACTCGTTTCTCCGCTGACCAACTTAGTCGCCGATCTTTAACTAGCAAGAAAATATCCGTAAAACAACTTGATATAAACAAAGTATACTTGCAGTGATGTTAAATACTAACAAATTCCTAGATTTTATGTAATTGTAGAACCCGAGAAGATATGTGTATTGTTTTCAGAGTGGTCTAATTCCAAACTAGTTCATAAATAAAACGTCTTCTAAGTAGCTACTCGAAATCAAACGTCTGAACTCTTTCTCACCATAATCATTGTATACAGGGTATTCAAAAAAAACTGTAGTCTTTTCGACCAGTGTTGCCAACTGTAAATTCGTCAAAATCCCAAGTAAGCTCCAAAATATCCGAAATTCCCGAAAAAAATCAGATTTTTTTAATTACGTTCCCTAGAAAAGACAATGCCTCTAAACTTTCCAACTCAAAAATGAAAAAAAATCGCGAGAATTACTTTTTTAAAAATCCTAAGAGATTCCCAACTGCTTCAATAAATCCTGAGCTCTCGGGTTAAAATCCCAGAGTTGTCATTAAAATTGCATTTTAAGCTTATATTTTTACAGTTTAGCTTTCGTATGATAGCTATGTTATGAGTTTCATAGCAATGAGAAATCTTCGGGTACGACTCAAATGAAAATTACAAGTAACAATTGTATTTCTCATTTACTTTGGTTTTAACTGGCAGTGAAACCTCATTTACTGCACTCAATTTCCAACAGTGAATTTTGCATTAAATTTTCAATAACATTAAGGCTGCGTTTACACTATACCGGATTCGCTCATCACGACATCTTCATTTACTTTAAAGGGTAACTGTACGGAGTAAAAGCTTATTAAACTGATAGATTTAGTCTATTTGATTCTGTTTCTGACGTTGAACAATTTCACTGCCTTTTAATATAAAGAATATTCAAACTGCTACGATAAGAATCCGGTGTAGTGTAAACGGGGCCTAATTGCATGAAAGCATATTAAAGTTCGGTTCACTTTCATGAGACTACCCCACTGATCTCGAAATGAGACTGGATCAAGCAACTCTATATTTATGATAAACAAATTTCGAAGCCGACGTCGCCATTACGAAGGGACCACAAAAGATTAATTTGATTCAACAAACAAAACTATATGAAAAATTTAACAAAATCATGCTTTAAAAAAATACAGAAGGTGAAAAACAACCTACGGGGCGATAGTAAAGAGAGTCGGAAAGAGTAATCGGCTTTCACTCGTAAAACCGAATCACTTATAAAAAAGGCTTTTAATTTTGAAGGAGTGATCAGTTTGTGATCGTAAATGAGAATATTTCATCAGTTAGTATTTCTGAACTACAATTCCGACGACTCTAGGTATTTCCATGCAGTTCTGGGCTGTTTTCCATAGTTTTTCCATACCACAGTAGATTTACCGATGACAAAAACCGCTGCATTTTGATCAAATTTCATCATATTTCATCGTATTTTTAGCTCTTTTATAAACTGATATATCCCTCAGTTATGTTCATGTGGTTACATGTTGAAAATTCAGGATTATTTGCGTGCAAATCCACAATATATTTTCTCCTTATTTTCGCAAGTTGGTCCCTTAGAAATGGCGGCGCTCATTTTTTGTCTTCAATTTTTGTGCTAAATGCTTGATCCAGTCTTGTTTCGAGATCAGTGGACTACCCACGCGTACGCACTGCGTACCCATTTTTTGTCTTATTTTAAGATGACGAGGTTTATTCCTATCGGCACGAAAAATCATGGTTTGTCTTTGTGATAGTGTAAAACGTCATAGCTGCAGATCATTACCTAACGTAACTTGCAACCTGAATCCATGCATTGATACAGGTCTGTCGGAGTATGGCAAATCCCAAGTAAGTAATTTTGATGAGATGATAAATGAAAGTCACAAATCGACAACGATTATACGTGCAATTTCTTTACAACTGTCATTTTTAGGAAAACGATGAGCCATAATATTCAATTCGTTGGGTTCAATAACCATGAAAATAGTCACCGAAAAACGGACTACTATAGTGCCTTCTTATTCGGGTTGAAAAAGAATTTCCTGACAATAAAGGCCGTATTCTGTGCCCGTTATCGTTCAGTTTCTTTGCACCTCGACGAAAATAATAATTAGCTATGTGAAGTTAGATGTTACGTAGACCTCGAAGGGATTGACGTCACCGCTGAGCACGAAAGCTAAGTTCAATATTGTATATTTCACAGTTTTTATCTACTTCCAGTGTCATGCTGGCAGGGGGGGCAGGTGGCTTTTGCGCCAGGGCTTCCTCTTGCTGGGAAATTTCCTTGCAGAAGGAATTTTTGGCCTTTACAAGGAAAAAGGCAAGGAAATCAAATTGGGAAGGAAATGGAAAGGAAATTTATACCTGAAAAAAGAACTAGGATATCTTGAAATTTGTTGTTAAAACGACAAAAAAAAATGAATAGACCAATAAGTCTGGGTTGCTGATTAGTGACGTAATCTATAATTTGGATAACAATTCTGTGTTCGTTGTCAAGCAAATACGCGAAATTGATCTCTAACCCCCGATCCAACCCTTAATCTCATAGACTAGGTTAACTTTGATGTAATGCTTAGTGTTTAGAGATTAGATTAAGGTGAGTTTCGCGTGTTGATTGATTCTCCTTTGCTTTTGCTGACCAATGAAAGTATTGGTACTTGTTAGAAAACGGGCTAGTAAGTAAGTTCATGATTAGAGGACGCTCGGTAAATTTCTCCTTCAATTGTTGTTAAATATTCATACAAGAACATGTTCATCACTAATCATGACAAACTTAGAACGAAATGTTAGCAGAGATTTTGCTAACGTAATATTATTGGTGAAACTAAAACTTGTTTGAAATACTAAAGGATTTAGTGATCTATTCGTCATGCAATGATCCTTTGTGTGTGTCTCGAAAATCAAGCCTACGGCACTCAAGATAAACACAACTCTCTATAATAAAAAATACGCAAATGACATGTTTCTCATTGTAAACCTGTCCCACACAAGTCAAGACAATTATTTGGCAACCTTCCAAGAGATGTGAGTTGATTGTCTACAAGTCTTTGCCATGCAATAAATCCTTTGATTCGCTGAATAAATCTTTTACTTCAAACAAATGTTTTCTTAGTTGCCATTTGTATTTTTCAGATATGAAGATAATAAAATACGGTTTTTACATGCACATGAAAAACATGTGACTTGGACGAGATTTGAACTCGCACCTTCGGGTACTAGTCTATCTGTTGAGCTTCTGATACTACGATACAAAAAACTTAATCGACAAGAAAGACCAGGAATATTTTAAATATTCTAAAGTATACTATGAAAATGTGAGAAAGAGTTAAGTTGTTTCATTTCGAGTACTTGGTATCATTTCATTCGGAACGGTTTTTGAATCGTACAACTGTGAAAAAAACAATACCTGATTGTATTGTCTTATGTATATTAGCTAATAAAATACTAAACTATTTTTTAAGGCAAGGTTTCGATTTCAATTCAATTCGACGGTTTCAATTCGCTTTCAATGCTCCGGTTATAATCTGCCTGATATCTAGTATTGCATGGCAATCCGTTAAATATATGTAATGTTTTTATCTTTTCTTAACTTTAAGAGTATTAAGAATAAATCTTCAGCAAAATATAATTAATCGGTGAATATAAAAATAGTAGAGACTGGAATAGCGGTAGGCAGGTTTATAATATTTAATTGATTTACAGTGGAACCCCGTTAACGAGAAAAATGGCTGTTAACGACAAAAATGGCTCATTTGACTCTGAAGATGACTACCACTAAGGTTGTCGAAACGTCAGTCAACAACAACAAAATCAGTCCTTCTCAGGACTGTACCAACCTGGACGATCTACATTTACAAACATGTAAAAATGGCTGTATTAACGTGGTGGCCATATTTATGGATGAGGTCAAATTTCAAGTGTTACGTCACAAGAGAAAATATATTCTAAATGTTACAATGAAACCACCCCCAACAATATCTATTTGTGCGCGATGAAAAATTATAATAACAACATTCATTTTTATATTAATGCAAAAATGCAAATTGTTGCAGATTAATGTTGTTGATTTGACGTTGAAAAAAATTCACGTAATGAACGACCGAGCAAAGATTTTACAACCCGCCAGTGAATTTGCAAATTTAATTCATACAAAGAACAACTGACTGATTTCTATGACCCATTCTCGCTGTTACCTGAACACCACTTATAATATAAAAAAATAAACTATAGAAAAAAAATTCATTTATTACACTCATTTTTATTTTAAATAGCATCCATAATATTCAATTCGCATTGTGGGATAGTTCTGATACGTTTTGGGCACGAAACGGACGAAGCGACTAATTATTGGTGATGAAAAGGAATGCTTGACTATTGTCGTTTTATCGCTGTTGCCCTGAAAGATCTAAAAAATTTTGCAAAATAAGGCTATTTTAACGATGAACTTGGGAAAGTTATATGTAAGACAATGAATACTTTAATGAAAACTGATGTCCCCCTAATAGTCTACAGAGAATTTGCCAGTGTATTTTACTGAGTAAATAATGATAGAAAGTATTAAGCGTGATCTCGTATTTCTTGAAGATATCTAAATTTGACTCTTTTGTTTGATATAGGACAGTGACTTGAATAATAAGTAAAAGGTGAAGTATTTTTTCTTAGATAGCTACTTATATAAATTTTCCATTCCGGCAAATTTGAATCATTCGATCTTAAAAAAAGTGATGAAAAATAAATATTTTTTTGAGAACATATTTTCATTGACCTTTGACAGATCAAAAATGGGGAGGGGTGGGGATATAGTATATGCTTGTTATAATTTGTGGAAAACAATGTATTTCGAAGGAAATTGATATGGCATATCATTCATATATAAATATACCTCTTCAATTATCGATGTTCCACTGTCCCTGATCTTAATATTTTTTGCCAATTAAACAGGATAAATATAAATTGCCAGAACTCACGCGTTGATAAAATCATTTTTAAACTTCCATTAATACAGGTCTTTCCTGATATTTTTAAAATTTTACCTTGATTGATCCGTTTTCTTTGTAAGATGACCAGTTTTTTCCATCGTTACTGTATGAAATGGAGTACGTCTTTGCCCATTCACCCGAATAGCATGATCCTTGAGTAGCTACACCAGTTATCATTGTGTTTTTACCAAAGTTAACTTGATGCCACGAGCTTATTCTGTTGCTTGCAGTTGGAGCCCAAGAGCATTTTGATGATTTTGTATTTCTTAATCTAGCAAATGGCGCTAGGTACCTTCTGCTATACTCAGACGAGGCAGTTATAGCACTATCTGGTATTTTCCCATTTTCCATTCCGAGTGGTTTTGGATCTCTGCAGATGACTAGTAAAAACAAATTAAAATGTTGTGTACATTTTTGGTATATATTTCATTTTTTGTTTTAGAAAATACACCAATTAGAATGGTGACGTGTATCAATACTAACCTAAACTGCAATATATTTTCATGATCAACAAATAATGAATAAAAACTATAGATTTTATTTAAACAAACGTGCATCAAGGCGACTTGACGAAGAAGCCTAATTAGTTTGCCAATCTAGGAAGCAAGTTTCAGAATATTACCATCGTTCATTTTTTGGAAATATTTGTTTATCACAGTAACTGATCATCAAAATATTTGCATAGCGTGACTATATAGGATGTCTCAAGAAATGTCCCCCATATACAAATCATGCATAAGCGTTATTTTACAATGGCATTTTAATTGAATTGAACATAAACTATTTGAGTAATCTATTTGTGGAATAATTAATTGCGATGATGGAAGCAAGCATAACGATTTTAAAAATGAGTGGTTTTCATTTTGAGATGTATAATTAGGTGATTTCAACAAAAGATGAGTAATTTGTAAAGGGGGATATTTTATTTCCCACTATAGGCTGGCTTACTAAGTTAGTGTTTAACCTATTCAGTAAATTATTCAGTCTACATGGTTTTTTAAGCTAATCAACGAGGCTTGCAAACTTTGAGTACTTACAGTTTGTCGAATTCGAGCACAATACAACGTATGAATTCATAAACTTATTGGTTTCATTCTTAAATCCAGGACAGCAACCTTGAAGATTATTACTTGCCCCACACACTACTTGGTAAGCTTTCTCTTTTTCTTCAGCAAGTGCCTTTAACTTGTCGCAACAAATGGTGCAAGATGATTCAAAAGCAAACAGTATGAAAACACCAAGGAGGAAAACTAACTTATTCATTTTGAACAGATCTTTAGCTACTACTTTGTTGAAAAGACTAATGACTGCGACGGTGTGTGTTCCTTTTTATGTGCGTTTTTATGTTGATGACGCGTAATCTAAAAGAAAGTGGTCTTAAAGGAATCTTAATTTACAAACTTCTTGATAAACACTCACCACACACTAAAAAGAAATGGGCCAATTTAGCACCATGAGGTCGTTTTAGCTTTTCAAATTGCTAGACATATTGGCTAGCAATGAGAGCTGAAACAGACAGGAGGGCCGTTTTTGCACAATGGCGGTAGTTTTTTCTCTACAATTGGTACAAAATAGAAATATGTTCGTGAATGTAGATCGTCCAGGTTGGTATAGTCCTGAGAAGGACTGTTTTTGTTGTTGTTGACTGACGTTTCGACAACCTTAGCGGTAGTCATCTTCAGAGTCAAATGAGGAGTAAACGTCAGGTTAGCCGTATTTGTTATCTGGTTCTTACGTCATTGTATTGTGTGTACAGGAAATGTGTATTGTCATTGTGAATTAGTGTGAAGTGAAATATTTTTAGTTGTGATGTGTGATTTAGGTGTGATGTTTTTGGTTGTAATGTGTGGGTGTCAATTGTGTATTGTCATTGTGAATTAGTGTGAAGTGTAAAAAAACTGGCAGCAACTTAAACATAAGACTTACTGAACACAAACTAGCTACTAAGAAACAAGACAAAACTACTCACATTGCCGAACATCACTGAATCACAAAGCACAACATTGAATGGGACTCGGCAAAATGCATTACTTACAGTACTGACTATAGACAACGGCTTACATTAGAAAGTTGGTATACCAACTTGGAACAAACCCCACTGAACAGATCACAGCAATTACCAGCACCTTACAAATGACTTATTCACAATATAAAATAATGATTAACTAAACACATTACACTTCACACTAATTCACAATGACAATACACAATTGACACCCACACATTACAACTAAAAACATCACACCTAAATCACACATCACAACTAAAAATATTTCACTTCACACTAATTCACAATGACAATACACATTTCCTGTACACACAATACAATGACGTAAGAACCAGATAACAAATACGGCTAACCTGACGTTTACTCCTCATTTGACTCTGAAGATGACTACCGCTAAGGTTGTCGAAACGTCAGTCAACAACAACAAAAACGGTCCTTCTTAGGACTATACCAACCTGGACGATCTACATTTACAAACATGTAAAAATGGCTGTATCAACGTGGTGGCCATATTTATGGATGAAGTCAAATTTCAAGTGTTACGTCACAAGAGAAAATTTATTCTAAATGTTACAATGAAACCATCCCCAACAATATCTATTTGTGCGCGATGAAAAATTATAACAATATTTATGTTTTTATTAATGCAAAAAGTCTTTTAGTCCTTCTCAGGATTATACCAACCTGAACGATCTACATTCACGAACATGTAAAATACTCACGAATTTTTAATTAATATGAATGGTTATTTTTGAATTTCAAACATCAGTCGCGCGACGGATTTGACATACTCTAGATCCGCCCCTGTCTTCAGATAATTTGATAGGCGCTAGAAGATCGCAAAATCGTGGCCTGAGATTTGCTAAGCGGAAAGCGAATTTTCAATATGAACATAATAGCCCAACATAAGACTTTTAAAAAAGCCATCACAATAATAAAATAAAGAAAGATAAAAGGTTTTTTAATAATAACGTTTCGTCTTTAACATAAGACATCTTCAGATAATTTGATAGGCGCTAGAAGATCGCAATCTGCGATTAGCAACCTTAAACAATAGGAATCGTGGTATTAACGAGTGCTTCTTACACGTTATGAGAAACTCTAGGTCGAGTTTGGCTTTTCAAGGCTTGAGTTCAAGACGCAGGAATTGCCTGAACGCTTCGAGTGCCCGTTATTGTTCACAGCTTATTCACGATTAACTTTCTTGGTAGAAAATTTGTTATAGTTTGTTGTGTATCTATAGAAAGACATATGATAACGAACTTCATTAGTGATATATTAGGTATACCAGCTTGAAGAAAAAATCAAGAAATCAAGATTGTCAATGTTTTAAATTGCCCAGTTTGCACTTAGCGTCATTCCAAATAAAAACATAGCACAAATAAAGACTCGTTGTAACAAGTCATTAATCTGCAGGAATTTTGTTTTGCATCGAAAGCGTTCTTTTGTTAATGAGCAATTTTTCCAGAAATATATCGCTTTAGATTTGTTAATAATATATGTCTGAATTTAGGAAAATTGCAACTTTCCAATTTTATTTCTTAAGCAGACTCATAATATATGTGCACATATATTTTATATCATTTAACAATGCTATGTCATCAGAATGTTATGTCTATCAGTGCCATATAAGTCAATTCTACAATAGCTCATTGCACCCAAACACCATTAAGCAAATTAAAAATACAAGTCCATAAATGTTCAGTGCTTATCTCAGGCAGTATGATAAAAATATTTTCAATCATTGCATTTTTAAACACACTCGATTTTATAGATATTTGACGAAAAATTGTAAGTGACCAAGTAGTATATGACGAATGTGGCAGGAAATGTCGCTGTGTGAACGGCAAAGCTATGTCGTGTTGTTGTCAGCGTAAAGAATTTACGGAAATGACTTATGATGAACGCATGCGTTATATCAACACAGTAAAGATTGCTTTAAGAAACCCAAATTATAAAACCCAATACGAGAACCTGCTTACAATACACAGAATGGTATATAACTTATCGATTCATAAAATCAATCTTCTACTTTCTTCCATGGCATCGATGGTTTATCCTCCAATATGAAAACTTATTACGTCAGATAGATTGCGGTGTTACTGTTCCTTACTGGGACTAGAGCCTTGATGCTGGCCTTCCATTTAATAGTACATTTTGGAGCGTGGAGTCAGATGGATTTGGAGGAAATGGAGTCGGTGATGAGCATTGTGTTAAAACAGTAACATTTCGCAGTCCAGTGTGGTCACTCACAAATGATCTTGGTTGCTTGAGGAGAAATTTTGGGTTAAATGAAACTGCTTTTGATGTGATTGTCATTCAGGATGTTTTATCTATGTCCAACTTCACAGTCTTTGCAGAAACTTTACGCAACGTTTTGCAAGACAATGTGCACGGTTTTATTGGTGGTACAATGTTATTGATAAGAAGGGCACTCTATGCCCCCAAGTTTTTTCTTCATCATGGCTTTATTAATAAGATATGGTCGGATTGGCAAAAACAAAGTGATGCTTATAAATTCAATACATATTTTGTAAGCCAAAAAGGCCTGATGCCATCAACACGGGGGCGTAACTAGACTTGAAGTAATGGGGGGTGTGGAGAAAATTTGCCCTGCAAAAGGGCGTTGCCCACAAAAGCCCCTTAAATCATTATGGCTGACAAATTATAATCATTTCTATTATTGCATGCGTGGTTTATTAGTAAACCTTATTGAAGACTAGGTTTCTAACACAAACTTTATTACAAAGCCTGTTTTTGAAATATAAACCTTAAACGTTTCGGACATAACAGTAAAACAATGTATATTTGTTCTCATATCAAGAGTCTTAAGTGAGAATCATCTCAACGTACTCTGGAGATGTTGTATTTTACTTAAATTTTGTTCTGAGCTTACGGTTTTTTCTGGCTACCCAAGATTTTAGTACTACATCCAAATGAATTGTATCTGTTAAATCCTTCTCGGTTGAGAGGACAATGAGTTCTTTCAGCCTTTCACCTTTCATTCAACAGCATAGAACTTGAAGAAATTATTGGATTGAAGCTCTCTTCATGGCTTTCGACAATGCAAAAATTAGCACTAGCATGTTTTTTACATTTGCAATCATTGTATCCAGCGGAATCTGTATCTTTGTTTAAAATTACTTCATCTTACACATCTCACAGACATATTGCACTGTAGAATTAAGCCAAAATTGTCAAAAATAAAGGTTTGTTATTTCCACTTTGTAATCATTTAGTTGTTTTCGATGATATGGCAATTTTTCTACTTCCTGAACACTGCCCTGCCACTTCACGGCAATATGCCCTGCAAAAAACACTGTTTTCAGCAATTGGGGGTATCACACCCCCATTAGTTACGCCCCTGCATCAACACCATATCAATCACGAGATATGCTTGATCTAAGAAAACAACCTGGTTCTGTGTGTGCTGAGTATGAGGATCCAAACAGTTGGGTGTACAGATCCATTAAAGGCTTGAATTCCAATTTGTAATGTAATGTATATATTCTTTATTTACAGTTTAGTTGACAATGGACACTGTGTACAAGTTTCTGAGCTTTGCTACTGGGAAAAGCAAATAAAGGCACAAATTTTATATACATGTATTCTATATTTTTCAGTAGCAAATCCAGGTCGCAAATTTTGATCATGCTTTGAAAATTTTTCATCATTAACGTAATCCATCTCGTTATTAGTCTCTTGTATTCGTCTCTTATATATTAGTCGTCTTGTATTAGTCTCTTATATATTAGTCTCAGGTAGAGTGAACACCAAATTGTATAGCAAGAGCAATTTTACGGGTTAACTTCACCACTGTATGATGTTCATTTACTATGGTAGTTTGGAGACTATTAGACTCTATAATTTTGGCATTTTTTATTTCTCACTGCTTAGAAATTATTGCTACTCTAAATATACTCTTTCTGGCCATTTTGTTTTTTCACCATAATCTTTTTCTGCTCCATGGAATAATTATGTTATAAATTTTTATGTATCTATGTCATTCAGAGAACGTCAGAAAATACGTCGACTACCTTTACCCCAATTATTAAATAAAGATGCAAAACGTCTTGCAGGAAGTCTCGTTGGATTACAACCCATCAGAGAGCTACAAAGAAAATTTCAACCTTCCGCTGTCATTGAGAAGAGCAAATTAAAAGGAACAGACGCGAAATATGGTTTTATAATAAAAGACATCTGGAGAGGTAATTTATGTGGTTTGTTTAGTTTATATTGCATGTTCTAAATCAAAACTATTTTGAAATTTTTAACTTGAAACTTTTAAGTTGCAGAGCTCTTATATTTAATTACAGATAAAGATCTTTTCCTACAATGCTGAGTGCGTATTTAGCTCGCTTATTTTTTTCAGCTATGCTTATACACTGAGCCAAAAAAGTAATTTTCGAAAGGTATTAGATTGGCCCAGAATAAGGAATGTAAAAGAAGCGCCACTCGATGTCGGAGCCTTTGATGTTCGTGTCCCCTGTTTTGAGTTCTACAATCCGGGTATTTTAAACGGCGGCCATGTTTCCAGCCAGATGAGTGCAGC